CCCCCTTTGCACCAATTTTCACGAACTGGTTGTCTTTATGGACTGCGGTTACATCTCTGAACTCCCGTCCCCACTAGAGCCCAAACATTTACTTGCAACGATGTTGAACAATTACGCTGGCTGGTGAAAATGCCTCTAAGGCCAAATATTATACACACGGTGCGCAGGCATAGTGGTACGATTTCGACTAGCCAAGTCAAACTCCAAAACTTGAAACCTTCAGGATAATCGTGGATTTGCCCTTAAGACGCCCGAAGACTTAAAACACGGAAATTACAGAAACTCGAACCAAAACCGTAAATCTCGCAGCATCGCAGAGGATGTGACTCCTTGAAGCACATACGGATTCGGAGTTTTCCGGCTTGCTCCAGAAGCCACGCCTCAGAGCGACGAGTCCGCACCGTTGTACTGCACGGCCAATGCCACCTTTCGTTACTTAAGTGAGCAAAAATGGTGAAACGAGGTATACGCGTCCGGAACGGCTATGACATCCAACCATGTGGTTGTCAAGACTATTTAAGTAATTGCAAAAGAAATGAATAACGCGGTCGTTTAGCAGGACATGAGGATAATAGCCTTAATCACTTTGACATAAACAATTTTACCGAGAACCAAAAAACAGCGAATGAATTAACCTAGACCAAACACAAGCAAAACAGTGCCAAACGCACAAGACACTTCAATGCGCTGGCGGACATTGAAATTGCGGATTCGAGCACCGCGTCAGAGCAATCGGAACCCACTCAAAAGCCCCATGACGAATGAGCTCATTTATTGTAATAGCAGATGAGAACTATTCTGGCCGCTGTCCCAGCCTTACAGCATTTCACCCGGCCAACAAAAAAATTCCAGATCTCCTCGAAATTAGGCCAAAGCGCTAATAAAGTGACGCAAGCAATACTGTAATGACCAAATTCCTTCCTTTCATAAGACAATTGCACACAAGGAAGAGCTTTTGTGAGTGGAAGGTTCAAATTTACACTCGAGCTCCTGAACTGTAGCCCTCTCATAAGAAAAGGCAATGAAGCTAAGCTCAAACTGCTGAAAAACCTCGAATCGAACAAAGAAAGCGGTTGCCTTTTGAAAGCGCTAATCTCCCTCTTCGATTGAGAGGAGGTTTATGAATACGAGGCTCAGGAGCTGCATACTCACAGAAAATGTACATAATTCGCCTGAGGTGCACGCATAAGTACGCATGCACATAGAAGAGAGGATGGAGGGAAGACAAAGAGAATTAAGAGAACAGGCAAAAAAGAAAGAAGCAAAGGAAAGTGAATCAAGATCGACTCATTAACATTAAGGAAAATGTTTGAATGCGATAGATGAGTAAGGGGGAGGAAGTGAGGGGGAGGACTGAAAGAAGGTATGCGATGCATTTGCAAGCACGCAGATCATACGGACAGCGAGATGTAGCTGTTGTACTTGGCGATATTGCGCTTGAGGATATCGGAGCAGGGTCCCATCACGCGTTCAAAGCGCTTGCGGTCCAATTTGACGCACCGCATTGCGCTCTGTGCCACCACTGTGGCTGCTCGGGGGCGATCCAGCAGCAACGCCACTTCACCTTAAGATACATGCACAAAAACGTCGTTTCCACGCTACTGTCGTCGCTACGGCTGACGCACCCATAAAATGAACGTCATTAATCGTTTTTTTAATACGTACACACACACACACAGTTTACATTTGAATTCATTTTCAGAACTATATGCCTCATTAAGTTTTATGAATAATTTGGGGCCTACATTAACAGATGACCTCACAAAATCAGCATAATCAAGGCACGAGGTTATACCAGAGTTGACATGCGTGTGCACTGAAAATGAAATTGTGATAAAGCAGTTACCGAAGTAGTCGGAGGGACCCAGCCTGCCTACTTCAACGGGTTCTGAGTTTTCTGAAGGTCGTTGCAACACAGCGGCCGTGCCCTGAGGAAACGAAAATTGACGTTAGAACACGTTCCAAGCTGTCTCCAGTGCAGAGGTGCAAAAATGGAGCCCAAAAGTGTTTATTACTTGTTCTAAAGAGAATTTAGAAATAACATACTACTAAAAGGAAAGGATCACTTAGATCCACGGTGTACTATAAGTTGAAGGTAGTAGCGAAGCACAATTCGATGTCAAATAACGAGACAAACAATAAAATAAAGCGCTTTTCGGCAGTTGCAATCATACCACCCAGTCTGAAAAGGTATGAAATGAAGGCCTGCGATATGAGTAACAAATACTAAAAGAACAAATCCTCGGGCAGCATTCAAACTGCGCAGCAGTATCCAAGGCTTACATTTAACTGTAAACGTAACAAAACACGGTACCGAAGAGCATGTGTCGTGCATTGACAAAAGGGTCGAATTAAATTCCATGGGAAAGTAATAAGCGAGGAGAAAAAGGTATCCTCAGTTATCTCCTTTTGAGTTAACTGCATGTCCTGAAGTGTCGATTTATCAACGACAAAACCCCTCCTCGCAAAGGCTAGATTCGCTGTGTGAATCAAAGAACGGGCTGTTAGTAAGGCTGGCAGGTAGGACTCTCAGTGTTAAAAAAAGTGGGCCGAATTTTGTCTCAACCGATTCGCTACAATTGCTTTCAACATACAACCCGTAGTCAAAGCAAAATCGGAAGAAACATAAACGCCAGAGCCAACCATACACACGCATTAGTTCATAAGCTCACAGAGTTAAATGTCCATAGTGTCACCGGAAAGACAATAAACTCATTGTAAGTTGGCCAACAACGATCTAGTAGCCACGACCCTTTGGGCGGTGGAACAGTAGAGGTGCCACTTTGGAATACTGGAAGTAATTCGACCAGTGGCAAAATCGAGTTTTACAGAAACCACAAGTATGCTCAAAAAATGCTAAAAAAAGAAAACAGGATTGAGTTAGAAGGAATGACAGGGTAAAGGAGACCAAAACTACTTTGACAATCCGAAGGATAGGCAGAAAAGGAATCAGGAAATATGGGATAATTATGCGATTGCAAGTTGAGACGGAGCCCTGTCACGACGATAACCCTAAACTCTACCCTTCGTCAGCAAATTCCGCCCAAACGTTATTTCCTTCCGTCGTTTCCAGGGAAAGCTAGGGGCGCCACAACCATAATGGATGATGGAACATTTTTTTGTTCAAACATACGCGCGGCAGCATAAATGACCCACATAAAGCATGGAAAACGGATGCTCATTGTGATGCAACAGGATAATTTTCCGACTAGCAAATGTATGAGGCCATGGACAGGGCGAAAAGGCTAGTTTGCAAGTCGCATCAAAGCACTTCAAAAAGCCCATGTAGCGCATTTTTAGCGGCGTTTAGCTATCTAAATTCCTTCAGGATGGGTTTATTGCAGAGAAAGTAAAAGGCGCGATGGCAGACAGCTGGCCAATCCACATCCCGAGTAAATGAAGTCGGAAAAATAAACTCCTCTACTTAGCTTAGTGATGTTGAATCCGCATCAAGGATACCAAATGATGCGGTGAATGAGTTGCACAAGCGACACATCTGTAATTAAGAACGAAAGGCTTTTGGCTCCCACATAAATCAAGCAACACGGCACTAATTCAGCAAAAAAATTAAGAGCCTTAGCATGCTGCACTAAATACGGCCCAAACTTCACACCCTGAGAAAAGCCATGAAAACGCCACAGATAAAGTTTCTGCCTGGTTGATAATCATAACAACACATTGAATCTGCCAGAGAGAAGACCATTCGTAAAAATACAAGGAGTTCAGCCACACTAATTGGACCACTTCAGACAAGATGGGACGCATAAGGTCACGTAAACTTCAGTCCCACACTGTCCTAATGGTTTACAAGGGTAGTAGTGCAAAAAATTTACGAAAAATGACCTACTTTAACTACTTGGTGGTGAATCAAAAGTAATACCGATGGTCAAAGAAATGGAAAAGATGACTTGATACCTTTGACGAGGAAACTCACAGCTAGGTTTCAAGAAAGTGCAATACAATCAAAACGCACATATGTGCACCATCCAAGCGAAATCATCTGACATCTAAACTCATTCTGTGACACCCAGCGGCAATACGATCAAGGTGCCACCTCCGAACAAATAGCACAAGCCCTAGGCGGATGGACTTGGGAACCTCTGCATGATGATCGAACATAGCTCCATAAAAATGTGCAAGAGGAAGAACCAATGTTAACTTTATATGTAATCGATAGTTATTACTGAATACCCAGTACGACATACAATCCATCTTAGTTTGATGAATGAAAAATTGCAACTGAGAAACATTGAGGCAAAAAACAATTGAACAGCTACCTTTTACCGTTGAATGACAATTTAAGTCCATGGCAAAAGTGAAAAGGCATGTACGAACAATACGAAAAAACAGGACTCAACGATGTCGAGGAGCATAAAAACAGGGGAAAAAAGAAGCATACCTCAATTATGATGTAGAAATCATCACCAGGATCGCCCTGTTGAACAATGCAGTCCCCCGCCTCAAAGCGAACCGGCTCCAGTGCATCTGCCACAGTCAGCCGTTCCCACTTCTCCAGATTGTCTACAAGAGGAAAGCGCAGTCGAACCGTGAGCATACAGGAAGACAGGCTTGAGATGGATGCCTGATTATTCGGGTTCCGCTTACCCAGGATGGGTACGCGTGCCAAAAAGTCCTGATACATCTTCCGACGACGAATGGTGCTACCCATGAGAATGCGGCGATAGGAGTCGCGATCAATACCCCACAGCTTCACCTCATCACTGCGCGCCTTCACCGTTGCTGCCCGTGGAGTGCCGTAGATGAGGGCCAACTCTCCAAAACTTCCACCCTCTCCGATGCAGCTAACAAGTTCGCCATTCACATATATCTACGATGAATTAGCGAGATAAATGCGTGAAGCTGGGCTGCCTTCTGCATAGGAATTTAAGGGGTAAAACATACATGAGCATTATTTCCTTAGGGTCTAAGTTGAACCAGGAACCTATTTATAACTCTTTCAATGATGAAGGAACAGAAACAATGCTGAGCATTTAAGACAACTAAATTGACCTCCAAATGGACAATCCTATGGGCTAAAAGCAATTGTTACCCGTTACGACCGAGACAATGCAACAATGATTATGATTTCACTCAGAAAAAGAAAGGTCGGCAAGCTTTCCTTAGCGCAATTGTCCCACGTCTCTGTCTTAATACGCATAAAAACGGTGATTAAAAACTAAAACTCCAAAATGAAATTTTGGTAATAATCTGCACATTACCATCTTCACATCCGATAGGTTTGACTAGTAGTTTCACGATGACCTATGTGAACACGACCCCTTAGGAGTTAAAGTAATAACGGCCAACACGAAACACTCCAACCTGAACTGAGTAGTACGGTCATTAACACATGACCCTGAGTTATGCCCGAGGAAAACGTCACAGAGCAGAGTCAACCAGGAAAATACATTAATGCATGGCAATGGGTTACTGCTATTGGTTACAATAACGAAAAGTTAGGGAATGTCAAAATGAATCGCATTAGTCGACTAAAGCATAACAATAAGTGACTTGGCCGATGAAGTACTGAAAGGGCAGTAATTGCATGAGTGGAAACACGTGGAGCAAAACCAATTATCCAGAAGACCAAAGAATTTGAAGCAAAATGGTCAGACTCAAAAGTACAAAAAGATGCTTGAAAAAATGTATTGAAGCAGAAACGACTCTTAGGCGTTAAACAAACCAAACCAAGTGCATACATGCATAGTCTTCAACGACATCAATGTCCCACATAACGCCAGATTAATAATCGAATCAAATAAGGTTTGACGCTTACACCTTTTCTGAAAAGGTCATATTTGAATCACCTTTCTGTGCATGGACTGGAATAGAAAAAGAATCTAGAAATTGCAGCAGGTGACATAGTTAAAGAACTTGGAGAATGAAGATGTGACCACGTGCGTTTACACATACTCAGAGTACGGCGTACGTTTGCGACTAAGTAGATCGGAAAATGACTCTTCTAACAGAAAAAAATGATTCAACTGAGAACAACAACGTGTCTAAATCCGAAAAGTAGTACAACGAAGTCAAACCGCCGAGGAGAAGGATAGGCTCGGTTAGCTGCTGACTAAAATTAGATCCATTAAGAGGAATGATGCCAAGCTAAATTTAGCATTTATTCAAATTTAGCGAAGCAAGGAAGCTTTAAATGGAAAGTTAACCTCTAAATTAAGCAAAACAATTAAAGTAATAACATAAAGTACATAAAGTAGAATCATGCTTTATGGGACGTTACTCATAGAAGCTGCCGAAGACGACCATTCAAAATAATCAGAGCCCATAAGCAGAAACGATTGAGACTAAAATATGTGCTTAACAGGTAACCAAAAAATCATGACTATTTGACTCACATCCACTTTGCCTTGGTCAATAATGTAAAAGTTATCGCCATCGTCGCCCTGCTTTATTATGATATCCCCACGACTGCGGTGAAGGGGAAACATCGCATCGAAGATGTCGCTTTAGAAAAGAGGAGTAATAAGGTAAACACACTGAAAAAGGACTTACTGGCTGACGGCACAAATAAAAAACCACGCCTAACCAGGTTCTATTGCTGCAGGAACGACAAAGTACTTTAGTGAGATTTTCAACTAAGCAAAAAAAATTAGAACACCGAGGAAGGTTCTTTGGTTAGGCGAAGTGGTCTCCCATTGAAAAACACCCAAAAAATGAATACACTTTGCTACGATGGTGATTGGAGGCAGTGATCGACGCACCGCTAAAAATACCCTAACAGAAAAGAGCGGTATCACAGGCCATCGCTTTATGGAAGACCGCGAGAGATCAAGAAGTAGACAAGAAAGAGATCCAACTGAGGGACAGTATCAAACTGCACCCAAACGACCTGGTGTAAAACGAACCCAGTACAATGATAAAAGGTTATAATGTATGAAAGGAGTCTAGTTCGATCAACAGTTATCTCAGAGCAGCACGCTTTGCAGCAATAGAGTATTTAGATGACAGTTGTACGAGGTAGTGCAAATAACAAGACTACTCATCTCTTCCGCATAATTATCAAAATACACGTGAAAAACTACTAATATCTACCTCCTCTCATTTTCGTCCAAATGCGCAAATAGAACGTTGCGGGCGATGGCCTTTGAGAGCGCAGTCATCGTCTTATAGTCCTTAGGGACAACCTACAGAGAGAAATGCAAAACTCATATCTTTCTTTTAAACAAAAAATTATGCTCTTTACTAAAAACTTAAACGCAGTAAACCAACGTCAGTGAGCTTAGGAAATTCGTTTACACAGTGCAAGAACATAAAAGACCCGATAGAATGATCCCATCTACAGACTCATGAAGGGAGAAAACAACTGACATGATCCTTTCAATTTGGGGCATTGAAAAGCATCAACATTATCCCAGTACATAAGTGCAAGACAAGTAGAAACGAACAAATCAAATCGCGAATAGAAGGCTGAAGAACAACAGTGTCTTTAATGGACGCTAAACAAGTTTGTTAGCAACTATCTCTTATCAAGGCAAAAACTAATGCAACGACAAATCACCTTTTTCACATATGAAGCCGCATCTTCTTCCGTGTAAACTTCGCCACTGACAGCCCCACGCCTGACACGACGCTTGGCAGATATTGGATTTGATGAACTGCAATTCACTGTGCTGGAAGTGGAGGATGAGAGGAAATGCACCTCGCCACTACTGCCGTAGGCGTCATCGACATCACTAAGTCCATTTTGGTTGCTAGAATAATGATCACCAGAATGGCGACGTTGAGCACTTGTCGATGGCTCATCTAGGGGAATGTTATCTGGGTTAGAAGATGGTTCTGAATCAGCCGACGGTGGGGGAAAACTGGCATTCCCATCGCGTGATCCTAGGATGCGTTTTCCAACTGGAACTGCACTATTCGAGCTTCGATTCGACGCCGGCTCAGTGTGACTTGAAGAGGTCTAAAAATTTCCAATAGAGAGAACTAAAATTTTGATGATTTAATCGTACACATAAATATGAACAGATTCCCAAAGAACAAATGACGCATACATCGAGAGCCTCAAAGTATTCACGGAGGAAACGGATGGGATCATCGGGACGATAAAGACAAACGTTTACGATAGACTCCCGTAAAATTTTATGGATGTTGTGACGCTTGACATAATCATCAAGCTCTTGGGCGTATAGATCATCTTCCATTTCTAATAATAACCCACTACCGCACAGAACTCCATGGCCCGATCAGAAATTCATGTTAGTGCATTGACTAATTAATACTTTTAATGCAAATAAACTACTGACAACTTTTCTTTACACTAGAATGCAGAATTCTAAATCAACAATTATTTTGCAAAGTAAGGAAATATTTTGGCCGAAGAGCAACTATTAGTATTTGTCACATAGACTAATACATATTACGAAATACTTGAAACTGGTTATCCACAACTTATTAATTTTCACACTTTTTGAATTTACTGAATTGATTACTTCAAAACATTCAAGATGACCAAATCTAGCAATAAACGCTTTAATATTATCGTCCAATGCACTCAACAAATGCCAAGCCGCACTTCTTCGATTGATACCACTTCAAATCACAAATTAGCTAAGTGTTGAACATCGCTATCATCAATCTTCTGGCAGTAGAAGCCTCGTCCCGATACCATGAGAGCCAACCTCATTAGGGTAGCTGCCACACATCGAGCAGCCTCACCGATTCGCCGGAATTGCTAACCACTCGCACCCAACCTTTACGACCCCACGCCCCGCAGCACAGAATGACTTCAGTCTACGCCTCGACGCTAATCCTTAAAAAGCGAGTCAAATTCGAAAGACCAACCATAACCAGCGCCACCTAACAACACCGTTGTAGGCGAAACAATACCTGCTTAGGTAACTTCTCCGGATCAAAAGGGATCAACTTTACGACAGCAACTTGAATTGGGCCTCAGAACTGTGCTTTGTGACACCCAGGACCGTGGAAACATCAGTCATTCCTGTAAGAGATTCCCAACCCTGTGTGCATAGAACTGCTAAGCATACTCGTTAGCATCAAGGATAGTAAGCTCCCATACAAGCGCATCCAATGCAGTCCAACAAGCAATTGATACGAAATTTAAGAAACCAATGCTACCCCACAGCCCAATTTACACAAGAACGCGCACCGAATTGCCACTGTTTCAATTCCCGCAAATTCCAACCAAAGGGAGATCGTAATCAAATCATACCAATTATTATTTGAGGTGGCACTGCACAATTCAGGCCCTGGATGTGGCGCTCCACTAAGGCAAAAAAAGAAAGGTGATGGAAATAAAGCTAAGTTAAAATAGTGACCCAATGAAGCTAAGCCATGAAAAAACCACATGACCCGCACATCCAAGTGAACTTTTAAAAAGTATCAACTTAGAGGAAGCAGAAAGATGGACAAATTTGCGAATCTAAAAAGGACCTACACTTTCAGCGTCCACCTTCGAGTTCTTGAGCCTGTCGAGTAATTTGTGGGCAGTGAAGGCACCGTTTATGGTTTTTTCAACTACCTGTTGATAAGGTGATACGGTATGCGTTCCCATGAACACGAGACCCTAAAGTAGATAAGAATTCAGACCTCGTAGGGTCTAGCGAAACAAGCTGCGGAGGAAAATTGTCTTGAACCAGGTTGGAGCAAAGAGACTGTTAGAAGACTCACCTTTTTGGAGTCGATCTTCGCATCCATTTCAGCGTTTCGAATCAAATTGACAATCCAGCTCTCGGCGTCATCAACATTCATGTTCAGCTTTTCAGCTAACATTCTGCAAAGAAGAGTTTAATGCAATCGGCTTTACATTTGAAAATTGAATGATGCACTAGCTACAGATATTTTGGTGGGAAGATCAGATACAAATCTTGGTACATGTAAGCACTAATATTAGTTTATAGGATAACTAAGCATTAAAATTACTTGATTCCAACGCAATTGTGAATGCGGCAGAAGGTCTCAAACATCAACAATCGACCATTCTCCATGAAATCCTCGTAGCAACCCGTTAGGAAAAAGTCATTTGGAATGACCTTTGAGATTAAGATATTCGACACATTTCAGATATTACCGGTAAAGGAGTACAACGGGAACAGAGAAGAGTGACTCACAGTCTCGCAGATTTTCAACTGCTGCTGAGCTCCATCAAAATCGAACTTGACGTAGAGACAAGCTAAGAATTCAGTTATAGGGTCTTTGTAGCAGTACGACTCCTGCTGAATTAGATGAACTACTTCGCGCAGCTGATTCTTTTTCCTCTTATCGTTGCTCACCACAACGCAGACGGCCAGATAGCGAAGAAGATGCGGTGTCAGTGTTTGAATTGCATTAAGATGACTATGAGGGTGGTGAAATAATAGCGAGGCGTAATGGCGGAAATAAGTCACGAGAAAAAGCTAATAAGAGCATCTGTTAGACTTAATGAAGCAAACAATACGTTCTTCGAACCAACTCACTTTGGGTTATTCAGAAAGAAATCTATCAACTTTTCTTTTCCTTGAACGTGATTAAAGAAAACGAAGAGTGACCAATGCAAGAGCCATGTCCGTTGCTGGAGCTGGAACAGGTAAGTTTCAGCAGAAGGTCGGAGCTGTAATAAGGAATGATCATTTCATGACAAATTTTAACGAACATAATGAGAAAGAGGCTTAGCTTACTCTATCGTCGCTCTGACAGTCAATCGCATCCTTGAGTTTCTCAACGTCATCTAGCGCTTCATCCCAGTTTTGAACCAGTATTTCAGCCGCCAAGCGCCCCCAGCAGGCATGAAGATGCCTCTTGTCTGTTGGACTTACAAGTTGACGAATGATACGAAGGTAATCTGAAGCCGTATCATAAAGGCCACTGTCATAGAAGATCTGAATATGGAAATATTAGTTAGCACGTGCCTGACTGAGTAATGACAGCATTTGTACTAATCGAAAACTGAAAGGAATCCAAACCCTGTCAATGAACACAAACAAGCAATGAAGCAAAATCAGCAGAAGATACCCTAGCCGCCTCGAACATGTCGTCCAGCATTTCTGGTTTAAAGCCGTATTTAGCCTCCAAGTTTTGGAAGAGCTCCTTGGCTACCTTACACTGCACCATTTCCTTCATAGTTTCGGTGCTGAAAATCTTGTCGATTGGTGCCATCTTCTCCTCCATAACCCGAATGAGATCAAGGGTGTCTTGACGTTTTTTAATTAGCTCTAGAAACTCCAAGGGGCAAGACACAAATACCCTCTGGCACATCCTCAACCTTATGAAGCAGTCTGTATGTGAGACAAGTGAAGTCGACCATTGAGGTTTTCATTAAAAGATCAAGTTTACTCCGCAAAATGGAGTCATTATCGTAAATCTTGGAGAATGCCATATCGAAGCTTCAAAAACAAACCGATTTAACTGAAAGGTACTCAAGCAACGGGACGACAAGATGCCGATCCAGATACTGACTTATTGTCTTTGTAAGATCATACTCGGCCATCCTGCTCTCACGAGATTACCTCAATAAGCTGCCAGAGAGTGAAGGTGACTCAAACAAAGAGATAAGCAAAAAACAACCACACTGCGTATTCCCTATAAAATGCATAGTCTTACAGAAACTTCTGCATAGAAGGGCTGAAAATAATCTTAAGCAATGGGGTAAATGAAGCACATCCTACCATTTTGAAGGTTGTAAAACTTTTTACAATGTAAGTTATGGACCAATTATTGATATATTTAGTTAGACACTGAAACATTTTACCATTTAATGTGCAAAACACAAGTGGATACACCAAATAAAAAGAGAACTTTCTAATATGCTATAATTTGAGTACTTTTCATCGAGGCGGTGGCTGTGGCATCCAGAGACTTCGAATTATGTATAAAAATGTATTAAGTTGGATTGATACGAAGGCCAGACCATGCATGCGAGGGTCAGGCGAATGTTAAAGTTATCATCATACATTAGGTAATCACATTAACAATGTATTGCGGCGGTACTCACTGCAAATTATTCAATATGCGTGCGAAAACTGAATATATTGCCAGTGGCGTGTAGACTCCGAATTTAGCAAATTTCTATAAATGCTAGCCTGTTACGTATAACTTTTGTTGATTGCCCCTAGGTGGGAGGCAGACACTCGTCTGAGGAGTGAGCTTTAGCGCATGAAGAGATCCGTATCTTGTTACAAATTATAGAAGAAGGTCGAGCGCTTAATAACGACTTGGTCGCCTTTAAGTCCAGGTAACGAGTGCACTAATGACCATTTTAATTTGTCCGGCATCATCATGAACGCATGGGAACTGTAAGGAGGTGGACATGACAAAAGGAAGTGAGGTCTACTCGGTTCGACGAAGCTGCTTCGAGCAGTGGGCATACGATTTGAACGCAGTGCTTGATAAACTCGGTGGCCACAGCCCTACCTCCATCTATCCTCAATCAAGTAGGTAACTCCCTATGATAAGTAGAGAATTCTAAGCCAGGAGTATCGACTACAAATAGAGCTTCACGACCTGTTGAAAAATGCCTAAGCAATTACCTTATTAGGTCACCCCATTTTGTGACGGGTTAAATGTGTTGCTTTTGCGAGCACATTACGTCTCATTGCTTAACTAGCCTCTAGTGAGGAGGACGATGGCTGCAATTTTCTGATACTTTCAAGTTGGCAGCAGAAGCAAGATGGCCACATGAGTGACGACATTCGTTCTAAATGCCTTTTAAATAGTGTATTACAATGCCAAACATAAATTGACTTAACCGTATTTTGAGTAGACCTTGTAATGAGTGTTGCTCAACGCATCAACATTCTCATTGATTTTTCACATAAATTAAGGGCCCTCATAAGTAACTAATCATGCATTAGTTTTATTACTTTCTATTCTCGTTTATAATCAGCGTTTGTACAACATGATCGATAAACTTGCGTGTTTTTGAAGTCGCTCGCACAAGACCTTCCAGCATGAAGGATGAGTGAAAGTGTGTTGTTGCATAAACCACTAAGTCGAGTATTGGACGCTCTTCTTCCTTCTCCACTTGACGCCGATGACGACATTTTTTGCAGGCTCAAGGTTCGAGATATCCTTCAGAACGTCACCAGCGCTCACAGTGACCCCAAGTCGCTGTGTTACAAATTCAGGGATGTATGCTTTGACAATAAATTGGCTGAGTCCGACCAAATTGATGCACAGGATTCAAATCCTTTGGATTGTGTAGATTCGCCTAATCCAGACCTAGATACTGGTGTCTATGATCCAGCTAAAGATGAGGTCGAGAAGAAGGCTTTTAATAGATTTATTGATAGAAATGATATGTCATCTATAAAATTTAGGGATATAACCTATAATTGCTCGAAAATTCCAGTTAATAAGTCCATATCAGCTGAATTTGAGGAAAAATATTACTTTTGTACAAACACAGAGGAAAGTGAGGAGAATGGTAGTGCTGACCGATCCACCAATCTTCATCAAAAGATGAACGATAGCAATTACAATGCTTCGGTCGAGGAAGGTGGTCTCAAAGAGGTGGGCATGTGTCTAGTGCAAGAGAATACGGACAGTCTGCCACCATCATCCGAGGTGAATTTGCATAAGGCAGGCGGAAATGTGCGGACGAAGTTAAGGCTTGCTGCCAAGCTCATGGGAATGAGAGCACGACAATGCAAGGTGGCCAAAAAATGTCCCCCAATAACTTTTGCCCTTGCAAAGGAGGTGGAACGTCTCACTGCGCGATCGAGACACCGTCGTCAAGTCCACGAAAAGAGTCAACACTCTGAGTGGCTGCAGGAGACCGAGGTGTACGAAAAACTGGTCAGCACTCTTGAGCAATACCAACAACTCCAGGCTCACACCACCAAAAAAACACTGCTGGAAGGTGACTTTGTAAATTTTTCGGGTTAAAATATTGAGGCACTATGAATATGTACGTAAAAGCTGGTGGGGTTTAGCATAAAAGTACAATTCTTTGGCTTCAACTTAAATCTGAGGTAGCGGATGTCAACGTTTGGTTAGTCCTCATGGTTCCATTGAAATTAAAGTTCCTTAGTGATAAGTTCTCCGGCGCAAGGTTCTAATTTTTCGCGTAATTTGTGGCTTCAGCGGAAGTCTTTGAAACACAAGTGTTTGTACGAGGAACAGTTGCTTGGCTTTGTTATACCTCTGCGAGAGAATATTGTGTAGACGCAATAATTTTGCCCACTCTGGGTGACTAGACACCTCTCTCGGATCGGATGGACCACTGCGGATGGGAAGGGAGAGAAATGAAGTAAATGAAGATTCATATAAACTTGCTTCAATTAATAGGGCGAATGCAGAGTAGTGTGCTGTTCAATGACTTGCAGAATTGCTTCCGCAACGCCTGCTGCTTCATGGAGGGGACTATAAAGGGCTTACGACGGTTCGCACCTACCAGTGACATTGTCCGCCACTGGTGGATTAAAGCGAGTCTTCTGCTTCAAAATAGTCTCCGACTGAAGATCGGAACTGTCACTCGAAGTAGTATTAGTCGTGTGCCCCTACGAGAGGAAGTGTTTTGGCTTTTCTCTCGACTCTACTTCGACTCAAACTGCAGTGAACGGCTGACGGAGTATGGATCTATTGACAGCTACCTTCAAATGGATCAAATGATAGAAATGGCGAAGTCAAGTCTACAACTACGGGGAAAACAGAGATCTACTGTTCCGTCAGAACCTCCAAAGCTAGTAAAAGTAGATACAAATGATAGTGGTTCTCGCGAGGGCACAATATCCACGACTGAGCTGTTCAGTCACCTCTCTGACCTTTCATATCTAGAGGAGCTGAAAGCAAAATATGCGAATATGCTGACTCAAAAGGAGTCGGAAGCTCACTCACCCGGTGTCTTCCAAACGGAAGTTTGCCCCCAAGGTGAAAAAGTTGGTCAACTTAAAGGCGAAAAGAACTTAAGAAGTTCGCTTGATGAACAAGTCAGTACACTAACTTGATCATAATGTAACCTTTTAAGTAGAAGGTAATTGTTTGGCTTGAGAGATAGGCTTGGGATTTTTGGAATGGTGCAACCGAAGCTTTTGTCAGTGAAACCTTCATTACATAAGCAAGGTAGAGATGAGTGATTGAAGCTTTGAAAAAGCGGTCACCAACAAATTGACTAGCAATGATGTGGCAAAGGCATTGGAATCCTGCTGTGACGTCAGAATTAAAAGTGCTTCATTCTGTATCATTTCAGAAGACAGCAAAGAGCTCAAACCCTTCGACAGTGTCAAATGTTCTACTCCGGCTCTCCGAAAGGTCAGGTATCACTAGTAAGAGTGAAAAATCGGAACAAAGGGAGAACACAGTCGGCATACTTGATTGTGAGAAGGATAGAGACGCATTCCATGAGCGACTTGATCATCTTCGACACATCTATCCGCACCCATACTCAGTAAAATACGTCAAGAATTTGGCCATCGATGAGGACTTTAAATTACTTCTACCAACTGAGCAATTGTTAAAGAACATAATTCGTCAACTTCCACTAGAAAATATGGAGGATAAGGCGGATGATAATGGAGATACCAATGCTGAGATGGTTCGTAGAACGATGCGACTCTCTTTCTCTCGACTTCCTTTCCTCCTTAAAACCATTCTACGCAAAAACGCTGTCGTTCTTGAGCCTAATCAAGAAATAATTCCGAGGATACTTGGTATAAACGACCAAAGGAGTGATTCCTATAACCTTTCTGACATGGACGCAGTCATCTATAGGCAACAGGAGCCTTTGCAGGGTCTGCGAGAGGGCAGCGAGAAGTACTTACTAAAATGCCTTTCTCCAGAGTTCATTTTTAGCGGATCCAAGAAGAACGCTTCTGAAAACCGTGATGGCGGTTATGGTACACTTACGGTGTTGATGTTGCCTCCAGAGAGCACAGAAGCTCATGACATTCTAGATTTGGCAGGTCGACTGATGGACGAATATGTGCCCCACATTAAAGAAGTCTTTCAGTCCGTCTTTGAGGCGGTGAGGGCTGATTTTGAGTGGGTTGTGGAGAGGGATGAGGAAATACTAGGTGTTGGTCTCACTCATTTAGCTCGTGACCTTTTGCGCTACCGAAACACCCCGGGCCATTGTGTGCGCTTCAAAATTCTTTCCGTTATAGCTGCCGCCTCTAAGAACTCCAAACTGCTAAACCAACTTCAGATGACGGCAAAGATGCCAAATGGTTGGATGGACCAGACCCTGCGGACATTTAATAGTGCTTATTCATCTTGTAGAATAGAGGCGGCCTTTATTGTAGCTTTTATGGCGAAGCGTAGGAAGCTAGTGCAACGATTCCGCCTATCCTCCAATTTCGAAACGTTGCTTTACGATATTGCAACATCATTGCTTCGGGCTGCCGATTTGTTCGAGGAGGATTTCTGTGAAATCTTTCTAGCCCTCTCATACCTCTTCCACTTTATCCAGCATCGAGCCTTAGTGGAGGCGCTCATAGACCGCTATTCCGCTTTTTGCTCAGTCCAACTGACTTCTGCGTGGCCACTGCTCATTGTCTACGCCTTTCGATTTTGGAGCACTACAACAATAAATGACATGACTGTCCGTGGCAAGCGCGTGATTGCGGCATTGCACAGGGCTCTCTGTAATCCCCTCTCGCGACGGAACGCGCGGATGGCTGTGGACGCGGTGGAAAGAGCAACAACTCTACAGACTGACATCCTCACCAGATGGCCGACAATCTCGGAGGCACCCGAGGAGACAACGTCTTAGAACCGAAGTAGTTAAGTAGGAATTACTTCCCTCCGGATGACAGCAATAACAAAGAGATGCATAACAAAATTGCTGGAGATGAAGAAATCCACATTCCAATAGGACCACTTTTGGAAGATGGATTACAATTGAATATAAATAAACAATATGGACTTGGAATAAACACACATTTTATACAAGGAGCACCATTCAGAGTGTAACGTTTACTTTACCCGTCCAGAAAGAATCGACAAGGGTAGCGTTGTGTAGTCAGTAAGTGTGTTGAAAATGACATTAATACCACAACCATAAAGTGTAAAGTTAGCACAAGTTACATTGCCTAGCACAAAGCTTTCGAGCGTCCTCAGGATTTCTTAAGCAGAGGTCACCGTCTTTGAACGCTTCGCATTCCTTCGAACCCAGTAGGTTGGTGCATCCGCCTGAAAGTGAATGGAGAATGATTATATGGGTAAATTGAAGAATTGATTGGACCCACTTTTTCGACTTGTTTCCTCCGAAATGCATCGTTCCTTGGATGAAATGACGTGTCTAAAGCAGGCAGAAGCAGGAATTCCCTTATTCTCATCGCTAAATTTGCCCGTTGTTGGTCGAGTGAAGAATGTGGTGATCTTGAGTTGCCAGCCGCCAAGGCACTTTGAAAGGCTTACTCTTGGCTTTGGACATCCGACGCAGGGAAAGCTTCGAAGGGATCTAGATTAATTGTCAAAATGAAAAGCCAAACAATGAGCTCCTGCTATCTGCTCATTCCCAAGGTCTTCTAGGGTGTTGGCATGAGCACATTACTTCCAGTGAAGACACGAAAATAAGTGTTCGGAACTATATTTGGATGGTCTTTGTCGTTTTCGTTTTGCTAGCCACTTACTTTCTGATTTTGCAGCATCCATCCTCACTGACGACGTATTCTGTACGGAGAACCAGACGATGCGTTCCGTTGGGTAGTCTCTTGCAGGGTGAGACGCTATTGCGCTCGATGCTGTGAGCCCCTTCGAACATGCAGCCCTTGCAACTTAGAGCCTGTTTTGTAAATTTCAACTGGCACTTTTTGGAATTGCTTGAGTTGAAGAGGGGAATCACGCGAATTATCATACGAGTTTCCGTCTTTGGATCGCATGAGTGCACGAGTTCATACGGCTGTGCTGGACAGACTAACAAAGGGAACAGAATAAGCAAATTTAGATGAGCAAAATGGAGTGAAGCGGAATCTTCCGTTTTCACCCACCTTCACAGGGTAAAACACGAACATGTTTCACAGACACGCATCGACCGTGAAGGAAACTGTATGTGTTTTCTACCTTCACGACCGTCATCCTTCCGTTTGGCAGACACCGTCCAAAATATTCGTAGCTCCGATTGCAAACACACACACCACAGGTGCCACCACAAACCTGCACAGAGGGCAAGGCGAGAAACAAAGGCATTTCAGTCAAAACATTTGATTATTTTATTTGTCTACAGTTACTTTTTATTTATTCAACTGTCAACAAGGCGTGAGCGTGGATGAAGCAGCTCGTGCGATTCTACTCGTGGACAAATTTCGAGTTCACTGGCAGTGTGTGGATGCAGGAGAAATTTTAGTGGTCCTTAATTTCTCGCCTTCAATGTAACCGTTCAGTCACCCTCACCCTCATTGTAGTTTCAACGGATCCACATTCTCGGATGATTGGGGAGGGGTGACTTGGTGCGACGGATGCCCTTCCACGACTATTTGGTGGCGATTGTTGATTGGTGGACTATTGGATGTCTCACAAAAATGCAAGGATTAATTGTCTGCTAATGAAAATGGCTGAGGCGAAAAATGCTTTTAAATTCTCGTAAAACATGCACAGTTCAATTCCATGACCATGTGCCGTTTCTCAGTTTTGAATTTTTATAAAATTTTTGTATAAGCTTTAACATAACGGTGGATACACCTTAAGCTTCACTAAAGTTGTATAATGCACGATGTTTAAGACGTTAATAAGGAACATACTGCTCTGAAGGCAGGTTTCTTGCACGCCGCAGTTCTAGCTACTTCCTCACACCACTGGGTTGGTTTCACGTCGAGGCAGGAGCCTGTGCGCGAGGACTTTCTGGCCGCATCGGTAGTGGCATTCCCCAACCTGCTCCCTCCTAGATGTGTTGGCATTTCTGGAGGCTGACACGTGACCTGTCCACTCCAATTGAGAGCGCTGATTTCTACATCCTTCACGCAATGTAGCTGACCTTCTGATGACGAGCCCTCTGATGATGCGATGGTGAAGGCTAAGGCGTTCTCTGAGCTCATATTCTCACAAGTGCAGTTAACGAGGTAGTTCAGCGTCGGTTCCAGCTCTCCTAAGGCAGTCAGCAATGATTGCATCAAGAACTCCATAACAGCTTTACCACATACAATGGAAAAGTCCCTAAATCTCGATACATCAAGCATTAACCACTCTTTGTTTTGCAAAAAATACATAGTTTGCACCAAAGTAAATGAGAATTTTGAGATGTGAAAGTGATGGAGAATGTTCTCATGTGAGTGAGACTTACTTGGGCGTCGCACTCTTTGGAAGCGAATACAAAGTTTAGCGTCCATTCGATTGAGGTCTTCCGCATTAGCTCCGGTTTCCACCTTCTTCAAATTGAGTCGGCGTTTTAGAGTAGGTCGATCAACTGTGCTGAGAACACAACTTCCTTGAACTGCCTCATTTATGGGGACGTAGAAGTCGAAACCCAGACAGCGCGGATCGTTGTTGCATACATTTTTACACCGGGACAACCCAGCGCCTTTCAGAGTAGTGAGGTGATATCTTCTGTCATAGCGTCTATCTGTCACCAAGCAGTCGTTTAGCTCAGTGCCCTCTATGCTGAAGTCAGTCCGATTGATGGGGAAATCTATTTCAACAAAAAGTGTGATGAAATTGATGCCAAAATGGTTGTGAACGACAATCACTACATGTTAGCATCAAATCAGTGGTGAAAATACCCTGACAAAGGTGGCAGGTCTTGCGGCAGAGTTTATCGCGAATTTGTCCTGGTTTGTCGCAATGCGAATTTGGACCCTGGTCCATTTCAATGCACTTTTCTACCGGCAAAAGGTCAGCACATTCAATGAAGTTTATCACATTTTGCTTAGGAGGTTTGCCTTCGTGCTTCTTCTCCTTCTTCTTGGATTTGGGGAGCACTTCTGGGATGGATTCAGAGCCAATTGAAATGCGAGGTGACTCAGATGCTTCTTTTGACCTCGCTTGCGTCGTATGTCCATAGAAAGGAGGTTCCACCGTCTTCATATACTTGCTGACTGGAGGTTTTCCAACTTCATGTGAGACAGGTATCAGCAATTTCAGCATTTCCGATTTGGGTTTAGTTGGTGTTTGGGGAATTGGATACGATTTCGTCACTAATGGCTCACCCGTATATCCAAAATAAACGGGTTCTAATGCTTGCCTTCTTTCAGAAACGTTCCCAACTTCTTTAAGTCCGAGTGATTGAGAAGGATAATGAGCTTCTTTTACTGGGAATGGTTTACCAAGATCTCGTCCTTTTTTAGTCTCATTTAAAGGCTGCGAATATCCTTCAAACTGCTCTCTGCCCTCCTCTTCCTCCACACCTGCCGGCGTTTTAATGTCAGAAAGTCCAAGGTCTGAAAGCCGCTGTCGTAGTTGTTCAAAGTCCTTATTTACTTCAGTACTGAAAGACAAGTTTTTGGACAGCTCTCCTGTCCCAAGTGAAGCCATGCTCTCCCCATCCATTGCAATTTCAAGACAGCGGAGATAGCGGATGAGGCGTTTTGTTTTGCATTTACAGGCCTCAATATTCACCATGTCTGTCGTTACAGTCATCTGGCCATTGGAACAATTGGAGTAGTATACACTTGAAGGCGGACACTCTGAAGTAGGTAAAACCTCTGTTAATTAAGCTGAAATAGCAAATAAAAGATGATGATCCAGCAACCTACTAATTAGTTGCTTCCGTCGCTGCACATCCACCTTACACCTAGGGCCACGGGGAGTTTGAAGCAGTCGCTCTCGAAGGACATTGATCAAAAGAACAGCTTCTTTGTCTTTTGGTTCGCTGGAACAACGCTTCTGAATCCAGACCTTCCGCCGACAGCCACAGAGTTCTTTAGTTACATTAACCGGTAGTTGTTTGCATTTGCAGCCCTCCCGTTGCCACATTTGTGTCGTAACTCTTCGGAAGGCTCGACCATCGCCATCATCCTTGTACACACATGGACCATAGCTCACTACGTCATCCGGGCACACTGGTACAAAGCAAAGTGAGGCATAAAATGTGATGACAGATGGACTGCTAAAACACAAGAACTACACATATGGTTATAAATAGCCCTGAGTGACAACACAATGTTGCGCTAAGACCCGTTCTCTTACTCATTTGACTGTAACGAATACAGCTTAAAGATGGAGAACATTTCTTACCAGTTTGCAAGACTTTTCGATCAGACAACACGGGCACGCAACTGGCTTGCTTAAGTTGATTGAAGCGCCTGCCAACGGCTTCAGAGCCAACGTAGGTTTCATTGATACCAGAAACAGAGAGTTGATAGCTCTGGTAATAGGAAATGAGGATGCCCTCCTTGTCGTGACATTCATGCACTTCTGGATTCTCTGCCTGGCGACATCCACAAGTCTCGAACTCCCATCGGCGTGAGGCGAGACAACGGCAGTCAGTAAGATCCCACGAGGCGACTTCCACGCGGCGGTAGAGTAAGTTGGGGTCGGGTCTCGTAGCACTGTCCGTTTCAACGTCTGTGTCATTCCCAATGTGTACACATTCAGACTCGATAAAAACTGGACCCTTTGGGCACTCTGAAGGCGGATGAAAACATTGGAGGAGGGTAAGGATTCTCGCATTAGGTGGGACATGGGGAATAGAAACCCACCAACAGGTTCGTAAGTACGCTCTGTTTTCGTTACACAGGCTCGTTTGCGCTCTGAGAAGTGAACGGAGGTTTCAATCGTCACTTTTGTAGATCCATTGAGGCAATCATCTCCTTTTGCTCCTAGTTTTGGAGCCAGGCAACCTATCCGAACGTCAAAAGCTTGCATTAACTTCCCAAATATTTAACAAAAATAGCAACATAGTGTATTGCTATGGCTTTGGTAAATGGCTGCTGAGGAGCTGTGCTATCGCATCTCCTTGGAAGGGTCTCCTCCCTGAGACATAAGTAGGCCATTTCATGCATCGGCAATATGTGTTCAGCCAGAACATTATACCTTGCCTCACCTTCGGGGAAGTGCAGGATCGCACCAATTGTTAGCTCGTCTTTTATGGCCAAGTGCCTATGGCCCAGATCGCGAGTAATGCAGTTCGGTGACCCAATCAGTGTTGGGAACATGAGTGAGAGAATCTAATCCCAACTCGCGGTCTACGAGAGAATTGTCGTCTATGTTTTATGAATTTTAAAATATTTGTCAATTTCAACCAAACAACATTGTGTAGGCCCCAATATTATATGCTGGCTTAAAATGTTGTTTGTGATGGAGTTTCAGTGTGTGCAGGTAGAAATTTTAGCAAATGCTGCACTCTTGTAATGGAAACGATATGGGCACGGCTTCTGGACATGAGATTTGACGGTAAACAAGTTCAATGAAGAAGTGGAAGAGCTTACAACACGGCTCGAATAACGTCTTCACCAACTCCTTGCATTTGCACTCTTCCGGCTGCTCTCGAACGTACACGACACGGCGTTTGCAAGTCAACGGATCACACGCACCCACAACCATTTTTGGCTCCGAGCAGGCTGAGTAAAGACAAGCAGAAATAGGAGAACTCAGTGCTGCACTGATTGCAAACCTACGGATAGTTCAACTCAAACTGCTGCAAAAAGTTCTGCTCGCGCACATGGAAGCCGCAAAAACAAAAGAAAAATGTAAATGAAAACTAGGTGTTTTAATCAATGTGACACCGGAAATTTTCGACACAGTACTCACAGATAGTCCTATTGACAACTGTTTCTTTCTCTTCACAGTAGCCATCGGCATTGAGGACCTCCTCCCTGATGGTAAGTAGCGCCACATTGCCACCAATGCAGCGTTCCTCTTTCCTTGCTTTGGAGTCACAAATGCACCTCTTCGTAGTCTCTTCTCTTATCACCTAATGCACAAAGTATTGCCCTTAAGATAGTCCAACTTCAACACGCATTTATGCTTGTATTTCTTGTCCCTTCAGCACACCAACCTTGCCACAGAACTTTAGTAATACTACAATGTTCTTGTTAATGAAAAAAATCGTAGATATGCTATTGCTTAATCTTGAACTCACTTTACACTCGCAATCTTCCACCTTCCTTCGGATTGTGACCTCGGTTCTCACTCCATCGGAGGTGCAAATTCCTCGTTGGATCTCTTCCGATGGGCACTCTAAAGGTGTAATTGCAGTAAAGTGAAGGCAATTTCGAAAGCAATGTAATTTTCCAGTGCCTTCATAACAAAGACATGGCTCCAGTGGGATGTGGAAGGGCATCAATTACCAATTGGCACAAAAATATAAATCGCTTGCAGTGCCTTAGTCTTAGTTTTAGTCAACTTTATGACACAAAGAAAGTCCTGTCTCTACCTCTCAGCAGTTGTCCTGTTACATCCTGTTCAATTTTAAAGTGCTGACACACGGATAGACCGTTCTTGCTGTTGCTCAGTTTCCACAGCTCCTTGGTGAGAATCAGACTTCCATTGACACATTGACGCACCTCTCTAGGAGTCTCAAGGCAGCCTATTAAGAGGAGATCGGAATCAATGAAAGGTCAACATAGACAACCACCATTTTTCGCTGACGACTTACAGCATCGATAAGGGCGTTTTGTGGAGGTGCCGATGCACTTGCCCAGATCTGCACTAAACCTATACGAGTGCTCGAAAATGTGGCCAAGGCAACCAGTTTCACGCGAGCAGGGACTTCGCGTTTGAGTGCTCTCTGGACAGGCTGAAACACATTTTAGTTTGCCTTTAAAAATGCCATGAACAAGAAGCATAACAATTTTACCACCTAGCTACTTAGTGTTCAGATTTCAGAGCAAAAAATGGAAAAATTCAACACCCGTTTTTTATCCTTTGGAAGTAATTCTATGATTAGTACAAGTTAAAAGGCACCTTGAATGCAAAGTGAATTAATAAGCCAATTGGAGAGGACATCTGCCTTCTCCTCCAAAGTGTAGATCATGAAGTGCCTGCTACGCGGCTTGGAGGTCAGGTTGCGCAGGAATGCATGTCCTCTAGCATCGACACCAACGGCAAGTGCAAAGATTTGAATCCCTGCTGCAGTTAACTCCGAGGCGATTTGACTCGCACCCGCTGACTCGTCGTTCACGCCATCACTGATTATGTAAACCATCGTAGTGACTCCAGTACGCACTCTTGGCAAAACCTGGTGATAGGATGCTGTGTGTCATTACCGAACACTTCATAAAATTGACTCTCATTTTTGGGAAAATAACACGCACCTCTGTCTTCACGAGTGTCAAGGCCTTGTTAATGTTTGAAAGCCTGCCCTCGTAGTTGATACGTTCCACATGACTAAGCATGGGAGCAGATTCGCCGTACTGCCCCAGATTGAAGGCGATGCTGGGGTTGCTGGAATACTTCACCACGGCGAAGCGAAAGGCTTCCAAGGTGCCATTACGTGTATCTTTGAAGGTATGGATGGTGAGATGGAGGATGTCACGCACTCGACGTGAGTAGTCCGAATCTCGGCTGGACACCGACTCGTCCACCATAAAAATCACCTCAGCTGCTGAGACCGTCTGACACACTGGAAGAAATATGCTCAACATTGAACTTTGTATTGAATAAAGCACTTAATAATGTTCGTACGCACTGTCAACATCAAGATTTTGTCAACCTTTTACTGATCATGCTCTGCTCTCTGACCCTGTAACAAGAGCTTCGCGACATTGATGATTTAATCGGCCTGACATTTAAAATTGTGGAGCATTACTGTTGTACTGGTGAGTTGATGCAATTCAAACAGTGGATTTTCCCCAACAAAGCTTAACCTCAACTTTCAACAACGATAAGCTACGAGAGACATTTGAGGCAGAATTTTCGGGATTAAAACAATGCATAAAACGTAATTATTTTGAAGAGATAGTAAAATGTGTAGCAATAACTCACAACAGGGACGAGACTCAATTGACTTCACCGTCTTGCAGCGACAGTCACTCTGAACGGACTTGATAACAAGAAAGCGTTGGGTCCCATTAATGCAAGTACCGACTGGACGCACGACTTCCTTGTTCGAGCAAACTAGATATGAATTCGACGTAAGGAGGATAACGAGAATCAGCTTTTTCAAAGACAGACTGTAAAGCGACTAGTCCAGAGAACATACTTAGTGGTTTTGATGAGGTGAAAGTAAGTGGCCAGCACTTCCCGTCCATAAGATGCCACGTTTTCTGCTGCCTCACAGAAATCGGATAGCCCATCGACTCACAATCCACCCACTGTGTCTTCATCGGCTTTTCATTGCTGCCTAACACTCCCTCGGCATTACAGCAACAGGCCTCGCTACCCTCCTTCCGCCTGACAACACACCGACAGCCATCAAGTGCCCTAGCAATGGTCACCTGGACGACATGTCGAGTGCATGCAGAGCCTCCGGTGCCGCAGGGGTAGACGTGAAGAACGCTGTGGGTACTGTTACCAGCCGTGGGACGAATGGTGTAGTCACGCCCAGCTCTCAGCTCGTCTTCCGATAGCTTGTCGCACGAAGTGATAACTTTGACAGCTCTCTCCTCCCGTTCGCACGGCCCCCCAAGTCGGTGCCGCGTGTATCGGATGGTTGTTATGATCTTGGTGATGCCGTCGCTGAGGCATCTGCATTTTAAAGTAAATTCAATCACGTCTGCAAAGGTTCTAGCAATCGCGTGTATACTCTGCAGTGATCCGAAACGCTGCATGACCTAAATTTGATTAGAAATGATACAGTTTGCTTAAACAGATTTACTCTACCAACTGCTTTGGCTGTGGATGAATTTGAGAATGCCATTGCAGCTTTAAAATTAGTATAATAAAATTCCTTAATTACATTTAATAAGATTGAGATGAAGTGAATGCCCAACATGATATCAGATTATAAACAAGATTAACAGGACCTATTGAATCCAACTAGGAGTTGAATGTATAACCTTACCTTTGCGTCGTCACTGGTTTTGGACAGTTGCAAAGGCGAGAAACACGTTTAACCAGAGTGCGACACGTAGACCCTTCGCGAGCACGCTTCGTGTAGATCTTGTAGAAGCGCCCACTCTTGCACGCAGTAGTAATACGAAGAACGGGTTTTGTGGGGAAGCAAATTAGACTCCACTTTGTTTGGATTTCGTGTGGAACGCATCGGCTCTTATCCGAAGTCGCGTTGAACTGGATGATGGTCTTAGTGACTATGCCCTCCGTCCTGAAGGCGAAAAGAAAGTTAAGCTTCTCTTCAGGGGACGGAGAGGTGCTCTGAAAGAGGTGCTCAGTATTTTTATCCAAAACAGATTACTATAAGTAATGCATCATGGATGTGCCAGTGATACTTTACTTACTCGGCAAATGCGAAATTCACCACGGGTTGCGAGCAGTTACAGATCTCCACTTTGATCTTCGGTTCGTCCAAGACGCATTCGCAGTCAACGGCTCGTACATTGTGAATTGTTACGTTGCGAACAAATCCGTGAAGAGCCTCCACAAAGAAGCAGATGGACTGTGTGATGTTAGGTGGGGGACAGATGACTGGAGACACATCTGTCCTAACCTCGTGATGTTTGCAAGTTGGCACTTCGTCGCTAGATAGTCTCCAATTGGAGACGGTGGTTAGCCAGGCGAACTGGTTGGTGCCATTAAGCTTCACACACGTTTTGTTACGAGTGGATTTTGGACACTCTGAAACGAAAAAGTGTGCCACATTCAAATCTCAAATGCTATGGCAGTGGCTAAAACAATCGTTCGCCTATAGTAGACCATCTACGGTCACCCACCAAATGCTGATAAGCATCAAACGCTCGCGATCGAACAACATACCCCATTGTGAGTAAACAATTTCACTCTTGTTGCGACATCTGCATCCCTCCCGAACAGTCGTTTTTCGCAAGAAGCGAATCTTTCCAGATTTCAAGGTCTTGGTAATAGTGGTCTCATTGTGCGGACAAATCAATGGCTGCTCCGAAGTGATCCGCATCACAGGAACACACTGACCATTCAATAGATGGAATTCACGAACTCGGGTTCCACTCATACCGGAGGAAGGCTCACAAAAGTGTTCCTTCTGGGACGGTGGGCAGCAACATTTGACTTCTTTAACAGCTTTCTTAGTTATACAACCGCCATTTGCAGTAGCATCAGGCACCTCGTAAGCGTAGGTGACAGTGGAAAGACAAGTCGTTTTGTTACAAGGTGATTTGTGGACAACCTTCTCCAATGCTTTGCATTCTACAAAGGTAAATGCAGTATCAAGGAAACATCACCCAAAGTTGTGAGCGTTGTATTCAGAGGAGTAATCCGTTCTCTAAGGAATAGTGTGAGCTTCCTTCGCTCTTATGCTACGCCCATTACACAATTGGGACTTACTACACGGGACCTTGTAGTGTTGCAATTGAGTTTTACATTGGCACTTCTCAACGACAGGTTGCAGCTTTGAGACAGTTGCAAGTCCAGTTGCATTGTCACAGACGCTCGTTAAGACTTGAGCCTCAGGACAACTGACCGCAAAGACTGCTTTTGAAATCTCCTTCTCCACACACTGCTTCTCGTCGATGAGGACGCGTCGAATAGTCCTAATCTCCATTCGAACATTATCCACACACCTCGTGAAATTCCGCTCCCGTGGGTCGCAAGCTTAGGGTCAGAGGTAATTAATGTGAAGGTATTTTGCATAGCCTATGGCATTTAACCAAGTAGCACGGATTTATCTCAGGATTGTGTATCAGATGAGTGGAAGATCTGTATGATCGCCTCCAATGAAAGACTGGTTGTAGGAGAGTAGATAATAAGTAGTACTGATAGTGAGATAAGTTTGATCAAGATGTTGCGAAAATTCGGGGAAATATTCAGAGCTGAATGGGGGATTACAGGTGTTACAGAAGGAAAGAGACATACCACAGAGTTCCCGAGCTCGATGCCTTCGCTTGACACATCGGCAACCCTCACGATCGGTTGTGGTCCAGGTGACGTTGCGATAGCTATTACCACTGACTTGGTCCACCACACAGGCGCCCTCATGGCGCTGGGATGTAATGCTGTCTGTTCCAGAACATTCAACGATCCGTGAGGTACGCCTAACTCTCCTGAGGCATTCGCAGTCCACAAGTTCTAGGAACTCCTCAGTAGTTTCAAGCAGGCCACTCTCTGGCCGACATGTGGTACGGACAAAAGGAGTTGAAGTACACGCACAGGCGCAGCGCCGAGTGCTCTCGGCAACTACTTTGCATGCGCAATCTTCTACTCGCATCGTCACACGGCGCTCGATCGAAAAACCAGTCAAGTGATCGCAGGCGGACCTTTAGAAGGTAGAATCATAAAGTACAAGATACATCGAGGTAGGTGCGGGAGCTTTAACAAAGCACCGTCAATTGGGTGAAGAGGCCACCTTTTAATTTCATCAAATAATCATATATATTTGAAAAAGCATTTTCGCTCCGAAAAAAATTAAACTACCTTAACCGTGACTATTTCAAATGGGGATCGCATCTTCGTCAGGCAATCGTGACTATTAAGGGTTTCATTACAAAGAAGGCGGAATCCAAGCTAGTTCTTTTGAAATTGCCCGCTTTAGTCGTTCTTCCTTAATCACCGAGTATCAGATATACAACTTTGCATATTTGGCACATCGATGCCGTTGTCCACGCCCTCCTCGCTCTAAAGCGTTGTGTATTACCGTGGGCACTTCCAAAATACAACAAAACCATCCCCATGCAGTTTGAGAAAGCAAACCGATCCTCTGCAAGCTTGCACAAGAAAAATCGTCCATCTGATTTCTATCGTTTTTACAACCACAATTATATCAGTGCTGAATGAAAATTGATCACTTTGTAGTGATGGGAAATATGAAGAGTGATTTGCATGCATACCTGTGGATTTGCGTGCCCTCCAAGCATGAGAAGTTGCTGTAGAGCGTCTCTCGAACAGGAGTGCAATCACCGCCCTGTCTTCGGTACTTCACTAGTGTCCTCTGGTGAAGATACTGATTGGATCCGGTAGGACGACATTTTGAATCCACTTCTATGGGATCGGGACAGCTGCACCACTCGAAGGAGGGCAGACCTCGAACCCTCAACTCATCCGTCGAGATGATTGGCCGCCATTCACATTTGCAGTTTACAGGGACCTGTTTGAACCAGACTATTTGACGTTGTCGAGTGGTCTCATTGCAAGAGGGTGACTTCTCGCTTCTTAATTCAGCAGGACATGCTAGAAATGAGGAATTTGGAGACACTTTAGCTGTGATGCTATCCGCCACGAGGTCAAGACCGAGCCCAGATGATGAAATGCATGCTAATCTAAACCTAGTCATGTGGTGTCATTTTCGCAGCTTACATCCGCCTTTGCTACTGTAGACCCATTTCGAAAGAGTGGAGTGATTGAATTCTCGACCCATTGTGCCGTTTATTTAGCAGAATCAGTCTTACTGTAATTTGCATAAAAATGGTGAAAAGTGTTTTGCCATGGGGTAGGTTACAGGACTCCTCTAGTCACTGAGAAGTGTGAATGTTTGGAAGCATTTCCCCACCATTTACGACATTACTCACTGAAGGCTTAAGTGACACAGTGATGATACCTCAAACGTTTTTTTTTCGATCAGGCTGAGGAAGTTTCTAACTACAACACTCACTCCACATAAAAATTTGCCCTGCAGCGTATTCAGTGTGGGTTGGGGGAGACAACGGTAAAATGCGTTTTCGGCGATGGCACTTCTAAAAAATGATTTCATTGACTACAGGCAACATACTGATGTGAGTGGTCGACTTGATAATATGCGGCACACATTGGTGGCCCTTCAATCTGGAGGAGGTCACTGTAGTCTCCAGGATGTGGTCCATTTTACAGGTCCTTCTCGAATGCGGTGGATGCTTGGCAGTACAATTGCAGACGAACTGGCGTTCGGTAGTTTTGGGAACACATTCACAGTCGAGTGGCGTCCAGACGGTCACGATCTCAGTTGCTGTGAAACCCGATTCTTCACCGCCACACTTAGTCGTCGTCTTTTCCGGTGAAGGGCAGACTGCAACGCAAACAAATGCCCCACATATGAATTTCCAAAGTGTTCGCCTTGCTCGTCCACGGTGAGCCCAATCGAGACAAAGCATCATCTCTACTTCTCTCTATGTTATAAACTGAAGTAAAATTTTGATAAAGGGTGTTTTCGTAGAAGTCTACCAATCTAACTGGACGCTTTGAAAATCAACAATGAAGTAACCAGAACAATGGGTTCCAAATGCAGGTGTAGGTTATGAAGCATCAATCACATTCGTCACACTCTTCAAACGTGAAATGATGAGAAAATTGATTTACTTGTGGGAGAGGCGCTCTCAATTGTTTCCTTCTGACAGACACGAGAAGTTTCATTGAAGTACACTTTGGTCTCCTCAATTTGCAAAGTATTTCCAGAGAGGCATTTACTGAGGGCTTGTGGTTTTGCAGTGCATGCGCATGGCAGCACGCGTCTGCTCACCACAACTGGCCGACAGCGGGTCGAGTTTACTCGACGACCGTTGATGGTCTTCGTGTACGGCACTGCTTGAAGAGTTACCACCTTCTCCACCTGTTGGGCGTTCACGCACCGGCCAAAGATACGCTTGAGAAACTTTGGACAACCTGAAATACCACAAAATGCGGCATAGTATTGCCTCCACTTTGATTTACAATGAGACATACAGAGGATGAGTATTTATGGAAAATTCCTTACCTTCAAAACAAAAAGAGTTGCGTTCTACAAATTAAGGTAGTCTTCTAGAAGTTCAAATGGTTAGACGTCAACAGTTTAACAATGGATCCTGAGGGGTCAAACTGATACCGGTAGCTAACTCGTAAACGATTAAACCATCCAAGTGACAGGACCACAAGATTCAACAATAATTTGATTCCTCGATAAAATCTCTTGTCTGACGTACCGCAACGAAAAGACAGCCGACGGATTTTGTGATCTTTGCATTGGCAGCCAAGCGGATAGCTGCCAATAACTTCCACGGTTTGGTTCTCGCCCGCCTGACAATCTCCCATTAGAATGCGAGGCTCTTTTTCTTTACAAGTCACAGGAAGTTGAATTTTGTGCTCCACTTTGGCGCAGTATGGCTCAATGCTGTGCTGTTTGCCATTGATGGTCACGGAGGAGAGAAGGGTGTATGAGATGAACCTCTTTTCAAGGACGTGGGCTCTAGCCAGACATGTAGTGTTGACCGGTGTCGACTTGGGGCAGCAGCAAACTTCAGTATGTGTCATTCTAAAATTAGGGTTAATGTGTGACACAGGCAAACCAATGAATCAGTGGACAAAAGGGTCAAAAGGTTATGTGGAAGGTCGAAAACATTTTAACTGGGGCTAACAGACAACGCGGAGAATTGGTGCCAGTGTGGAATACTGCAGTGGCTGAAGAGACGAATGCCAAGAAAACACCATTTTGAAATAATGGCGAGTTCGCCTTCCAAAGATGCTATTTTGCCATGGGGCCGCTACTTGGAAGGGCTTGCATTGAGTTTGGTGGCTGCTTATGAATGGGAAGCTAATTTGCACTTGAAGGGGTGTCATTTCATAGACATTGCTGTCAAGCCAAACTAAACTGGCATATTTATTCGCTGAAGGGTTGGTAAACTAACCAACCCCATCTTATAGAGATGTTAAAGCAACTTTATTTGGCGCACTTCTTGGTGGGACATCTGCACCCTTGGGAGGTACGTTTGTAGGTGTGAACCATTCTTTGACAAGTGGATGGGTCACAGTGCTCTCGAACCGTCCAGGTCTTACTGCCACCCTTCAAAGAACACGCCGAAATCGGTCTTTCAGTCTGCTGTTCAGTGCAAACTGAAGTTAGTCCATCGGTAGTAAGGACATAGCGGGTTCTCTTCTCCACCAAGGAGGTGCCATTATCAACACACCTTCGCTCTACTCTAGGTGGACGACAGCCTAGAAACGAAACAAGAGAATTATGAGTAGAGGAAAATATCCTTTGAATGAGAATTCTTGCGAATCTGAAAAAATAAATAACCACGTACTACAAATTTGCGTTTCTACTCGTACAGGGAAAGGCTTGCAGCGACAATTTTGTGCCCTTTGTTCATAAAATGTAACGTTTCGTCTACCGATTCCATCTTTACCAATCACACACGGTCTCTTGGTTGATTTCGACTCAACGCCTTCTTGTCGACACTCTAGTAGGAGAAAGAAGAAGGAGAATGGAATTTGAGAATGCAAAAGGATTGGCGAAAAGAAAACTACTTACGCAGATCACTTCGTGAAATGCTAACAGTAGCCTGGCAGTCACCGTCCGTCAGGGTCCACCGTGTAGTTGACACTTCCACTTTGTTGCCTCGACATTTTGTCTCATTTCTTTCTCCGTAACGTAGGTTGCAGTCTTGTGGATGAAGATGATAGCATTAACTGGTCATTGCGATTGTATGAGACTTTACTTATCGCAGCACCTCAAGTAGACTTACCGCATACTTCAGAGATGTTGAAAGTTCTTGGAATACACTTGCATTTCTCAATGTCATATGTGTGAATAGTCTTTGTTAGAAGGCCACGAGTTGGTGAGTTTGGGTCAAGGTCACAAGGGCCAATTTCCTGCCTCCTTACTGGACAGACTGTAGTGAAAATAAATTTTTTTTACCCCTGTTAGTTCACTTGATTGCAATGAAACTCCAAACCGCTCTTCACCAAACGAATCTCTATAGTTAAAGACTTCAAAAAAAGCCTGCTGAGGTTAGTGAAGGGGTCCAAAGCTAGGGTGGAGTGAGGTTGCTTAACAAATTAGCACAATATCATCAAAATGAAGCTCTAATGCTCAGAATCAGGTCTCCAGATACTTCACCACTGCCAACGTAGGCGACAAGTAGGTGCTTGCTCACCTATCTTCTCAAACTTGGAGACCTCATCAGGCATGCATTCACCATCAATGAGCTTGTATGTAGTTACGGATGTTGTTCGAACCCCATTGTCACAGGAAATATTTTGAGTATTGAGGTGAGCACAATCTAGAAGATAAAGGTAGAATTAACAGAGTGGCTGTGGCTCCTGGAGTATGCAAATGCAATCCACTTCTACACGTGTTGTCATAACTATACGGTATGTTCCGCTTTGTTAGTTTCCACTTCGTCAGTCGGGTAAACTTCACTTACCGCAGTAAGCGTCCCACTTGTTAATAATACGAGGCTTGCACTTGCAGGTAGCCCTATCGAGAGTGTAGTTAACTTGACTAATCCTCTGTCTGTAACCCGTCTCGGGACCGCAAGTGCCGACACTGTAGCGTTTGCTCGAAGGACACGTCTGTGCCCAACTGACGCACAGCTTTCGCGCTTTGCACCGCTTAGATGCCGCTTCAAAAGTGTAGGTGAGGGTGCATTTGATTAAAAGGCCGTTGCCATCGCACCGAACCCGTTGAACGGAGCTGCCTGGGCAACTGCATCGCTCCTGTGTAGAAGCCACGTACGGTAGACACTCTCCATTAACCAATTTGTAGGATTTGATCCTCACCGTTCGGAAGTGCTTTTCACAGGGCGATTCCCAAACTTCGCGCTTGGGACAGACTACGCAAAGATGGTAGTGACTGAATTAATCATGTACCGAAATACCCAAGCATTAATGCATAAGGTTTATTTGCATCATTTTGAAGGAGCCCTATTGACTAGATTTTCAAGCTCTCATTTATTTAAAGATCCTTCATCACAGAGAATTCCAATGGATGAAACGCAGAGCGCCCATCTGGTGCGCGCCTTTTGGGATAGATTACGCGACTTGTGAGTTGCTTTTGAGCCCAGCTTGTAAGCAATTCCATTCGTTTTGCCAAGTGGATAAAAAAGCAAAGAAACTCACCGCATTTTCCAGTTTTCACTACCTCCCGTCTCTTGCATGCACAGCCATCAAATTCGTGCCACGTAGTGGTTTGAGTCCAGACGCCTTTCTCCTTGTCGCAATCCTCGTGGACTTTCGTAGCGGGACAGACGATCGTGTCGATGGTTTCGTAGTTCAGAGTCGCTAACTTATTGTCGAGTATGGTCACGTTGCCGTCGGAAAAGAGAACCTGTAGGCGTGAAACACCGTTAATAGTGTAAGTCTAAGGCCATTGCTCCAAACTATTACGCAAGCTCTTGGATCCTGCTCAGCCTCTGACTAAAATAGTGAAGAAAGTAAACGCCTTCACACTGACGTCGTGATTCCGGATCAATGCAGGCAGAGTAAGGCCACAGCACGGTGAGCCTAAGATTCGTTGTCGGCTACTAAAGACGTGTTCGCCATTAGTTTACTTGGCTTCAGCTTCATAAAATCTACCGGTGTCTTGAAGACCGAGTAAAGGAAGTGTATTGCATCGGAGTGTGGGTAGTAAAAGAGTGGACTTCAGAGCGGCACTCGTCTAGCCAAATCTCCTCAATTGGAGAATTTCAAAAAATGCTTCGCGTTGATGCTTCAGACACCGGAAATTTCGGCGTTAAATAGTGATCCACTATGAAATGATATCAAAAACACAAATCGCTTTCTGCTTTCCTTTTTACCTCAAGCAATTAAACCAAACTCACTTTGAATGAAGCGATGCAATTGCAGCACAAGCTTGTCACCTATTCAACAGCCCGCACCAACTCTCCATCGTGACACTTCAAGATCCCCTTATTCCAGAAATTATATCTAACAAACTCAAAATCATGATCATCGTGAGGTGTTACTTCAAGAGGTTGGAACAGGGCATGGATAGCACATTCTGCTATGGAATGGTTGAAGACATTACATGTAGTCCTTTCTTGCTCAACCTTGAGGGCAAGTGAAAAGAAATCGCCCTCCCTCACTTACATCTCCTGGAACGACGGCATACTTAGTAACGGTGCTCCTCCACTGATGTCGCTTCGCATCGCAACGACGGTTCGTTTTACCTGGCGGAGAGCAGCAGAGCCGCCTTAAGGCGAGCGATTTCTTGAGACACTTGCAATTTTCAGCATAATGCCGCTCCAGTGTCACTGTTTCGTAACATTTTCCACTTTCGTTGGTAGACTTGGTGCAGCTGGAAACTCCAATGATTTGGGTTTCGCTCTTGCATCCTGAAAGGGGACGAAAAGCAAGGCAATGTCTATTCAACTAGAAGAACACAATCTTCAACAGCTAGTCGAAGAATTTTAAGAGGTGGACGTTTGTGACCGCCTGGCACAGAAGGTAGCATAAAAAGGCAAGGGTAGGGAAGGAAGTCGCACCAATTTTTCGACGCATCACCTCCCGCTTTGCAACGCACTGCTCGGCCTGACGAGTGAATCTAAGACGCTCAGTGACGAGAAGAGAGTTCTCTACACATCGAGAAGTCTCCTCGGGCTCTGGACAATTGCAGAGCTTCTCAATAACTTCTTCTCTGGGTACGCACTTGCACTGCTCCAACTCCTGCCAGCGCGTCACCTCAGCACGATAAGTTCCATTGGCCCGCTTGATCACACATCCCTCGCTCTGCTCCACCACCTGGCGATTGGCAGGACATGCTGCCAAAAGGAGAACAAGTTTACCATTCCGCAGCACTTTAACCGTTCTGGGGCAAATTAAATGAAGGCGACTTATAATGGGGAACGATTGCTTATTCCAGGCGTATGCTTCCCTATGACCTCTAAGGGCGGCGATTTGCAGGATTTGCTATCTTTCTGCGATGATTATAGTGAAGGTAAAGTTGGCCACTTACTGATGGTTTTCACTTCATGTGATGTCTTCAAAGAACACTTCTGATCTCCGGGATGAGAGGAGTACTCGTAGTTATCTATGATAAGTTCGTTTCCCTTACAAACGACCACTTTTTTGTTCTTTCGGTGACAATCTTGAAAAAAGAACGATAGCAATTTAAAATGTAGTAAAGGTTGAAAGGTGCTTATTTCCTCACTCCACATACCACAAGCCTCCGACCTTATAGTCACGTTTGGCACACATTCGCAGGTAGTTGGATCCACTGAGAAATGCTGGAAGGAGACGTTTCGTTGTTGCAACTCAGCATTGCATTCACCAATGGTGAGTTGTTGTGCTGCAGGGCAAGTGACGAGTGTTTTTTCGGTGTCGATTTCTTTGATACAGTCTGTTCTGCCATTCCTCTCAGTCAGTCTATATGTATAATTCCTTCTTATCCAGCTGCCTTTATCACAGTGCCTCGTGGTTCTTGACGGAGGACATCCTAAAGACAGTCGAGGTGTCAATACTTATTTTGACATCAGAGCTAAAATTACCTGTTCAAAACAACAAGATGTTCTCAAATATGAACACAGTAAACTGAAATATGCAGCTGAATGATCAAAGACAAAGTTAATAAAGCAATCGTATGAAGAGTGTCGACTAACGGCAGGGCTCAGAGCGCAGCACTTCAACCCTCTTAACGCAAGTACCGTTCACTGGCAGGTAGGAAATCCTCGAGACATTTCGAATCTGGCTCTCCTTGCCACATGGACTCAGAGTGATTTCAGAACTAGGACAACCTGAAGCACAGGATACGTTTGAGACAACACCTTAACAATTTTTCACAGAAATAGGTCTATCAAAATCAGCAGCGCTTTTACGGGTCAGTACCGATGTTGACATAAGCGCGATGGATTCAGCTCATGCCTTTTGGCAATGCAATAACAAACATTAGCAGATCCAGGCATTGAGTAGGTGAGAGGGAATAGAAAATTTGGATGTGACTACCTCTACGTCTTGTTAATTTTGAGGCACAGTTGTGATGGCAACGCAAATGTGAGGTGTGGGCAACGTACCGCAGGTCTGCGTTGATCGCTTGACACGTTTTTTACACCTGCAGTTCTGCAAGACGTACGAGACGTTGGTTACTTCCTGCACCCTCGTCTCTTGGCTGCAAAGCCCAAGGACCACCTCGGGCTCAGGACAGCCTGAAACAAAATAACTTGAACATTTTTAACCTGGAAGCGTAGGCAGGGCAAGATCCCAGTTCGACATTTCCATTGCCAGATGTCTTGAATTCGCGGTGATGGGAACTTTTTCAATATTTGTAAAGTGTATTTTATAAAATTAAAAGTACTACATTAACTACCACGACTCAAAGACAATGCCCTACTGATCATGTGGCATAATAATTGACGTACGTATCTTCTCCTCCAACTTCATCATCTTTGGAATGCAGGTACCATTCTCCAGGGTGTAGAAAACGTTTATTTTGGCAACAAGTCCACGATCGTTTTCACAAGACGACGTTTCTTTTGGTGGAGGACAACAACAATACCGATCATTGTCGACCACTGTCAAACGCTTTGGTGCGCATTTACAATTTTGTGGAGTGTTCACCTCGACTAGACTGGTCAGCCTACAAGTTGTCGTATCGCAGTGACGAGAGATCTCCACGCTTCTATTGACGCCGCAGTCTTGAATTAAAAAGAACACGAATCGGAGCGTTAGCGTCTGCTACGAAGGAAATGAAGAAATGCATTTGGAAACCAAGCCAAATTTCGCCCATGGGTACATCAAAGGTAAAACATCTACTCGAGCTCCAGATGGCGGGTTCAGACTCCATTGTTCAGTCAGTGAATACGGAAATTCCATTAAATACTGCTTCATTAGTGGATTTGACGGTACGAAGATCCCTTGGCATTAAATAATGAATTATAGAGGTTCGACGTCTACTCCTGCAGTTGGAAATAACAAGGTTCGACTGCAGGCATTCGAGTGTATCTAATCAAATGTCTGGAAGCGGACCAAAAAACAACACATTCCACCAATCGAAGAGGATTGCAATAGGCCGAGTGCCAGGGCTGCATGCACCCGCATTGTAGTCGGTTGCTCCTGTAATCGCAGTGGTTTAATTAGCTCTTCATTTGAGACGAACTGCTAGGGGTTGACTGCAGACAACAAAACGCAGTTCATTCTGCAAAAGATCTTCAACCCTTGACACAAATGCGTCATTACTTACGTTCCTTCTTGGTCACTAGACTACCGTGTTTGAAGTCATCCTCCACTACTCGCACCGCCAATAAGCTGTTAGTTTTCTTCCATCAACACGCTTCGAAGAGCGTTTACCAACGCTCTTAACAACCTTATGGGTGATGAGTGACTTGATGGTCAAATAATGGAGAAAAGAAGAAAAGTTTCAGCTAATCCAATGATCATCAACTGGTTCTCCATTGACGCAATTTCAAACAAAAAGTTGCAGACCGGATCGTCAACCGTAAGCAGAGGCAAGTAGAAACTTCTTCTCACATGAAAGTTTTGGGAGCCGACCTACCAATAGGCATTTGTACAACTCGAATGGCGGTTTCACACGACTTCTTCTCCGGATTAAAAGTGTAGTTGATGTGTCTTTGAACTAGCAAGGACCCATTCTCAAGACAGGCCTCGGTTATTCGAGGTTTCGGACAACAACAAGTCTCCTGATGCCTGCTTTGGCGGTTTACGCATCTGCAACCCTCCAAGACGTGCCTCGTTGTTTCCACGACGGTGAGGCAAGTCTTTTGGTCACATGGCCCGAAGGTTTCTTTGGCTGGTGGACAGACTGTACGAGGGAAGCAAGCATTTTTAAGGCAAGAGAACACATATTTGGGTGGCTTGTGTTAAAATGATACGGGATGTGATCAACTGTTACGCTTTCCCTTACGCAATCGCATTAATCAACAATTGCAACAGTAAATGATTCCCAGTTGCGGCGTCATTTCAGTCCACAATTGAGTATTTACCCATCCTTTTTCATACTAACTATAATCTAAAATCTAATCTAAAATTAACGGTGCTAAGTTTTGGGATCTCAAATGCGACAAGGCAAAAGAGAGGGTGGTAGAACAACACTAAAACAATTCTTGGAATAGTTCCAAGGATCCACTGCATTGTGGTGATTGCGTGAGCCCCGACTGCTGGACCTGCGCCGGTTGGCGTGGCCTCATGTCAAGCCACCATCATCCGTTTCCTCCTCACTGTCACCTTCACCTACGCCTACCAGTAATATGTCTTCTACCATCTTCATTCCTCCTCGAATAAGCACAGATGAAAGTGTAAAGCGTTCAACTCACCTATTTTTTTGCGATAGCTTTCGGTTTTGTTCACACAGGCGTTGTTCTTTAGAACAAATTTGATTTCAGTTGTGACCAATTCTGCATTTTGGTCATCGCAGTGCGTTTCAGGAGGGATAGTGGGAAGGTGACTACAATCTGAGGAGAGAAGAACATCCAAGTAAAAAGCAAATGCGGACTGGTGTAGAGACATTGTAGACTTACCGCATATTCGTTGAACAGGCGCCACGGACCTCTTGCAGGTGCACGATTTGGTGTCAAACAAACTGCGCGCCACAATGTCAATTGCAACGCCTGAGGCGATGTTGCATCGGCCACGTTTGACTAGCGGTTTCTTTGGGCATTCTAACAGTAATGAATCTACTGTCAATGTTTCGTTGAACCATAGGTACTTCAATGCGTGCAACTCCGATTCAACAGCATCAAATGCGTCAACTAGTTAACTACATTCTCTGGAAGTAGTTTTGAAGGTCTCATGGTATTCATGCAAGAGGAGCCAACGCAATGAGGTGCCTCCATAACCCCACAAACATGACCTAAGCATTCATGGCCAAAAGTGTTAACCTTAAAAACTCGATTCCTCACCCTCAGGAGATACTATAACACTCACCCTTTGGTGGTAGGGTTCGCACTGTCTTGACGGTGCGACACTCCCCTTTCTCCCCATCATAAACGTGCTTGACTGTTGTCTCGCTAATGGAGCCGGTCTTGGGGTTGCACTCCCGCGACACTCGTAGCTGCAATTCCTGTGGTGTACAACAGCACGTCTTCACTTTTCTCATCGGTGGTTGGGCTTTGCAAGCACCTCCTTCCAGCTTGTATTGTGTTTCAGTCACATTCTGAAGACAGGTGATTGTGTTGCATCTGCTGTATGCTTGCTCCGGTTCCTTGCAACCTAAACGAAATTACAAACCTTACCATTGGCTCTAGCCTTTTAAGTGTACGTGCGCTGAGGCCACACCGCCTTTATCAAATACCGCTTTTCATAGCTACTCACCTAAGGAGCTGCCCTTACTGGAAAGTGACACCACAAGCTATACTTTTAGGTGATTTAATGGTTTAGGGAATCATACCAAGAGTTCACTCCAAAGCCATTCCTTTGCACCTCGATGATTCAACACGAATCAGATTGAGTATGGAACTTACGACACAGACGATCCTTGGTTGTTTCAGCGACAGCCTCACATTTGCAGTTTTTAAATTCGTTTTTGATGAGTTTTATGGGTTGACGTCCCGTGGAGGTCTCACAGGGTCCGGTGGGCTGTATTCGGATTGGTGGACATTCAACTTTTTGAAGCACCTTGGAAAGGACTTCCGGCTTACAATTGCCATTGCTAACCTTCCAATACTTAGTCTCCTAAAAGCATCAGAAACATGTTTCATTTTCTCGAGGTCTCCCTTTTATCACTTATGCACTGAATCCATATTAACCTTGAGAATGGTTCCGTCAGGACGACAGATTTCCTTTACTTGAGGCTGAAATTGGTTGCAGCAACAGGCTTCGGTGCTCTCGTTGGTTATTCGATGGCACCGACACCCGGTTAAGACCCACTTGCTCTGCCTGACCTTGCGGAGGCACGAGGTCTTGTCGCAATCTCCCAGCTCCACGACTGGTCGAGATTCATTCCCTCCGCGGGGAGGGCACTCCACTGGCGTTCTGTGCTCTTTGATGCGCTTCACACATTCCCCATCAACCAAACTGAAAGGAGCACATCAATCAGCCATTTCGTGAGAGGGTACATTCATTTGGTGAAGGTTTTGGAGAATTCTCAGCACTGATTAATGATGACTCGAGTCAACCTCCATGATTTTTAATTTGGGACTGGGAATTAGAGGTTGCTCACTCTTACTCTAATCCCAACACCGTCATAGAGCTTAAGCGAAAAGTCGTATTTAAAAATTGTGAGCTAATGTGTTGGTAGCTGTGCAACCGAAGCGGACTGCCCTTATTTGCGAGTACTAAAAGAAGCCACTGGCTTATCAACTATTATGCTTACGCATACTTTGAGAAATCTGCGTTGAAATTTGAAGGAGTGAAATGGTTCAGAACAAGTACGTCGGTCAATCGTTTCTAGGAGAGCTCTCCCTCCACTGCTACCCATTTCCGCAATTATTACTTCGTGATGTTTCTCTGAATCTTATTAGTTCATAGCTTTAGAACTTTTAAGTTACATCATGATTTGCCCGAAATTGGATCTATTGTAGGGACCTTTGGAGTCGACAAAGGCGTTCTAAATGTAAATGCCTTTTACAAGTTCGCTTACTCGTAGACAGCACGGCGATGAAGAAGAACATGCTCTTCAGGTAAACAGATACCAGCATCCTCCTCCTCTTCTTCCTGTCCTTCCCTCGATGGTTGCTGACAACAGCACTTGCGAGTGGTAACCACCTCCCGTGGCTTGCATCGGCAATCATCCAAATAATATTCAGTTCGAGTCACAATCTGGAGGCAGTCACCAGCGCTTCCGCACGGCTTGACCACTTCTGAAGGTAGTGGACAGGCTGGAGAGGGAGAAATAGGTAAGTTTGTGAGTTGAAAATGTACATCTTGACAAAATCTTGGATGAGTGTTGCAGTGTGACTTGGTTTCTCGATTAAACGCACAATACTTGTCTAAATGCAACTCGTAGGCGAAAGGCGGAAAGTCAATTAGAACGCCGTGATAGAGGAGCAAACAGACGCCACCCCTTTACGAACAGCACTTAGTCAAGCAGTCCTCCTGGAGAAGCGACAGTGACTACAACTGTGTTTGGGCACAAGCAAAGTAAAACAATCAATGGCGGCTGATATGCAAAAAAAGAACAGAGATGGAGGGGGTCCAATCTCAAATCTAAGCACCGAAAATTTGTATCTCAGAGAAAAGAGCATTTCAAACGAAGGCTAATCGAAATGTAAATCTCGGGCTAGGAGGCGATGAGAATAGCACCGGTGAGTAGACAATATGCTTCACAGCATTGGTATACAGACGCAAGGTAGAAGGAGCGACTCACCTGGACACTGACGACTAGCACTTTCAGTACGGACACAAGTCTTCTGCGTCTCGTCGAAGTGAGCCAGTGTTTTAATACTCACGTAACACTCTCCAACGCATGTCTTTGTTGGCTTTGGTGGCGGTAGACAACCTTAAGTAAGAGAACTTCGCATTTTAAGGAAAGCCTCTTTCCAAACGGAAGGTGAAGTGTGCAAAGTGTGTGGCGCTAATATCTTGTCTCCTTATTCTGTGGGTAAAATTGCCGTTGTTCAGCCCTCAACTGCATTTAAACCAAATTCAACTTGCGTTACTCCACAACTGCTTCCCTCGAAAAATAGCCTTTAACCTTTGTAGACTCGACAACTAAGGCAATTGGGTGAATGTTGGATGAGACAAATAATTTCATTATGGAGTAGACTGGACGTCAATGCCTGAAGGGAAAGGTCAGGAGTTGCTATTTGATATTTTCGGATTGTGAATATGGTGCCCGATGGCTGCATCACTTCCTTATTGGTTGAATTCTTCAAATTGTTTAAAAACCTTCCAACATTTCTGGATCTGCTCATTTTTCGTCGTCAATATTGAGATGAGTAAAAGCAAGTGGCAAAAAGTGGTGACCCACAGCAGTCCTCATTCCCAATCAACTTCTGTTCTGGTAAACACTCGCAAGATTTCCTGTCGCGAGTGTAAGTTGTTTCGTAGAGAGATCGTTTGCAGGTCAAAGGGTCACAGACTCCGACCTTTCGCTCGTTCGGTTGGTCACATTCTGGGAGGTAAAAGAATTTTAGAAAAAAAGTTGGTGAACAATGAAGAAATGCACTTCTCGCCATACCTATTTGTTTGGTTATGTACTTGACACTTTCTTTGCAATGGTGATCAACGAGACTGACAGTTTTGAGAACGTGCAGCAGCGTTCCCTCATGGCACTTGTCACCTTCCTCTGGTTCTTGATTGCAGCCTGTAGCAAATAAGCGAATATTCCCTCAAAGCCCATACAGACTTTACTTCTACCTCATTATGGTAGAAAGGTTACATTTTTAGTGTAAGATGCAATAGCAAAAATTTTTCGTTGGATTTGCAACCTTCGATTAGAAAGGTACACCAGAGGAAGGAAGGAAGGAAGGAAGGAAGGCTTATTCAAGTACACACTTAAAGAAGGGGCTATTTCAAAGTTGAACCTACAGCATTGTCTGGTCTGCAGGACGTGTCTCTTCTTTTCGCATTTGCAGTCAACCGGTGAAGCTTCAATGTGAAATAACTCTTGAAGACAGGTTGATTTGTCACATTCAGACCACCTGGGTTCGTTTTCTTCAGCAGACACGTTGCAATCTTGGAGACAGAGGCAAAACAATGCACTCATTTGGCATGTACTCAGGGTAAAGTGATTAAACGCGAGCAATTTGTTGTTCAATTGCTCAGATGCTAAGAATGCCTAATGATTACTTCTTAAAATTACACTTTCGACTGAGGATTTCAGTTGGCATAGACATTCTGGGGGAGACGAAATGCAGCTTACGAATTGGCTGACGAGAGACAATGGAATGCTTTCGACAAACATGTCCACAACCCTGCAGGTGTGGTACGTAGTGGTCTGATCGAGTGATCCACTCAGTGTTGTTGTGACAAACGGAGGACACAATTGGTTCAGGACAGCCTACAATTTTTGAAAAAAAAGAGGAGTATTTAAATGGAGTGGTCTAAGAGTTGATCCTTTTGCGCGCCTAAGTAATGCTTAACTAAACAATAAAATGCTGTTAGTAAGCAATAATTCCCGTTGCACATAAACGCCCAAAAGTATTGCCATAACGGGGACAGTTTTAAGCGGGCTAAGTACGGTTTCTTGACGTAGCTAAGACACTCACCGCAACACGAGCATTGCTTCTTCGCCTTGATGAGCCAATCACATTGACAAGTTGAGGAGTTGTAGGTCTGGCCATAGACCGTAAGGCTGCGTTGACAGGTGGTGAGGTCGCACTCCCCAAATTCCTCTCGCGTAACATCTACAGAGCAGTTCGGCTGCCAGCGCTGCACCTCCTCCTCTCGCTTGCAGCCCAGCCTTCCCATGTATACCTCAAAGCGCGTCCGCTACAAGTAAAACGTGAGAGACTTTTTTTAGCTCTTCCATGAGACATTTTCCGAGGTGTGTTTATGGACAAAGCTGCTTGGTTACAGCTTCATTATTATTAGCATTATAATTTTATTACCACCTGCCGACTTAACGAAGAACTGTCGTTCATTGTTAACATTTAACTCTGCGTTTTTGCTATTAATCGAATTCCAGCTTCCTGAATGATGAAGGAGCCACAATGGCGTCCGATTTGTGCATTTAGCTCACCCTTCTTTCCATCAGACCCTTAACGCACGTTGTGGATTCGGAGGCAGTGGGACAGCCACAAACAAGGTCCTCCTGATGTCGATTTTTGTAGATACATTGCTTAGTTTGTGGGTCCCAGTCCCGTTCAAGGTAGACTAAAGCTTGTCTCTCCTCGCCTGAGTCACAACTTCCAATCATAGTCGTCCTTGGAGGGCATCCTAAGTAAAGACAACGACAGCAACGTCAATCCATACAGGTGAGGGAGTCTAACTCAAACGTCAGTAGACTCACGACAATCAACTCTGCTAATTGTGACATTGGTAACACATTTGCAGTCGTTAGGATCGGGCTCCTGGACAATCTTCTTTAATTCCATCTTACCCTTCTTGCATGATGACTGTACGAATTTGACTCTGGGATTGCATACTATAAAGAAAGATTTAAAGACCATTCCAATTCGATAAAACTTTTCTTGCAATAATAAATGATTTAATGTCACAAACAAGAAGAAGGAGTTGAATTGTACTAAAAGCACATTTATATGGCTCACTATGTGGATGGGTGATCCGTTTTACCACGTCGACGCATTGATTAAGATCATCGCGCCACTCCTTCAAAGTGCCTTCCATCGAGATCTCACGAAGTAGAACGTTACAGACTGATTTAGTAAACGACGGTTTATCGGCTCCGCATCGACATGACACAGACAGTTCCTCCTCCCGCCTCTTGCACATGCAATTCTCCTCCACATAGCTCACCACAATCACTTTTCTCTTGCCCGACAAAGGGTCACAGGGCGTATAAATGGTTTCCGGTTTCGGGCAAGCTGTAAATGGTAGAAAGCACAAATTGGTAATGAAGTAAAGCATAAACACCACATCTGAATGATAGGGAGTGTGATGGCTCACAGAGAGGCTCCTCTTCGACTGTGGTGTTGGGCACGCATTGTAAAGTCTCTGCATTCAATGTGAATTTCGTAACTTGGTGGACACGCACGCCCCTATCAGGATCGCATACTGTTACTGTTCTTGGATCATTGCATTCTGTAGAGGGAATGAGATGGCATGTGATATCGCATTTGTGTGTGTGGGTCAAGAGGGGGTGGAGGGGGTCTAATCAACTTACTGCATCGGCCTTGTAGCAATATTTCCTCTGATCGGATGCATCTGCACTCACTCACTCTCCACACTGGTCTCACGATTGTTCCTTCACCCGTCTGTTTGTCACATCGTAGCAATGGTTGCTTCACCGTCCGGTCAGTAGCCAGCAGATCCTCTGAGCATCGAACTGGTCGTCTCTCAGTCTCCACAATCTCTCGGCACTTTCCACCAATTAGGAGGAACCTAGTGATGGTTTCCTCAAGTTCATTAGTCGCGGGATTACAGATTGCCTTTCCTCTACGGTCGGGTGGGCAGCCTAGCCGAGACATTCACAACCAAAGCCAAATTAGCGAATTCACGGTTGTGAGTGAAGTGAATATCAAGGTCTACATTTTAAGAGTATATGGCTGAGTGAAAAAAATGCAACATTTTTAAATTGCAAACTTACCGCATTGTTCGGAGGTAGTTTCATGAACAACTTTACAGGTGCATCCATCTTGAACCATTTTCTTCCATACGATGGTTGCTTTTCCTGTACTTTTAGAACAATTCCTGGATATAATTTCAGAGTACACCGGACAGGCTGTAGGAGTGCGGAGATATAAAAAGCCTTAGTGAGTTTAAAGACTTTAACGCAATCCCTCTACTTAACTACATCAATGAGGTGGGGGGGGGGAGGGGGCACTCGCACAAAATGCCTTGACTTTGAGGCTGAGCCGACAACTTTCGTGAATAGCCTTAATACAAATAACATGGGGAGTCTCTTCCAATGTTGCTTCCATTAACAAAAAGGGGATTCAGTACTCCACTAACACCAAGAAAAAAAAACAAAAAACTTACTTATCTTGCTCCTTGTACGTTCCACCTGACGTTGGCACTTGCAGCCAAGAAGGTTGAAGCGCGTCACCTCCACCACCGATTCACCATCCAGCACATTATCGCAGTAAACACGTCGAGTTGGTTCTGGGCAACCTAAAGTAGGTTAAAGTAGAAGCACGCTTAATCCCAATAGACCCCACAGATAATGTGTTGTGTTGAAGTTAGGACATACGCCAGGGACATTGAAGTTGCTTCTCGGCACGCACGCATTTGCAACCAACGAGAGTTTCAAAAACCAATCGAACCTCCTGCAACCCATCTGGGCGACGAGGACCGCGCTCTTGATCCACCAGCCCCTCTGAACAGTTCACCACCTCCTGCCATCGCGTCTCATGGGGCGTGCACCTGCCCCCCTCCAGACGGTACTTCGTCTGCGCCATCTGCCACTTCGCTCCACCATCCAAGCTGCAGGTGCGGGTGATTTTGGAGTCTGGTGGACAACCTAAGATGTCATGACAACAAAATAAACCTCTTCATTATAGAGAGTTATTCTGTTTTGTATGCTTACAATCACTAACTTTTGTGATCAAAACAGAGTTATTTGAGACCTATCATCACCAATGCTTGGTTGCAAAACCGAAGAGCTATACAAATTCCAAAAGATAAGGACTTACAGCAATCTGCAATCACTTCATTGATTAGTTCCTTACGACATCTTGGGGGGTTTCCTTCGCCCAAATGGATCATGCTGTACCATCGGGTTTTGCGTTGACACGCTGGAGTGCCGCAAAGTTCTCCACCTGGGGTGCAGTAGGTATCACAGGGCACCTCCTCTCTAAAACTCTCTCCCTCCTGCTTCGCCTCGCCCGTCTCAACGTCCACACAGTCGCAGGCGGTGGTGAGAATATGGGCCCGTGGTGTTGTACACTCGCAACCCTCTAGGCTGCTGCTCATTACCACGGCCGTTCGGATCATCCGACCTGTCGCTGAGTCTCGCGTGCATGCCCCAGCACTTTGCACGTATGTGTCGTTGCAGACTGATGCCAAAAAATCGTGCAGTACCATTAAAAAAGGACAACATTTTTGCGGTCAGCAGAGGGTTTAACTCGTCACCAGGTAAAATATTATTGCTGCAGTTCGTCGTTTTTGTGCATCTGTATAAAACTTTTGAAGATCCTCAGTTAATAAGACCTCTTTCTACGTATCTCGTTCTATGCTGATGGCAAGTTTACCAATTTACACTCAGCTACGAACAAAATCAGAGTCAAGACGAGAGATCCAATTAAGAAAAGCGTTTTCAAGCATGCATTTTCGGGATTCGCCTCATTATGCAATGAAACAATCAAAATTGTACTGGGAAATGAAAAATGGCTGTGGTCTGTTAGTTTAATTGTGCACAGGGAAATTAGACTGGTGGAAGAAGAGGCACACAAAATGGGGTTGTACTTCACTACCTTCCAGTAGCACTCACCGACTGGGATAGTTCTTCTTTGGAGGGTTTCAAGCGTGCCCTCAGCCAACTGCCTGAACGTTGAGGTCTCATAGACTTTGGCACCAAGGGCTTCGTCGCAGTAGACGCGATGCAAATCCTGAAGATCGTTTCTACACGGCTCAATTTTGTTTGTGACGTGATGCAAACACTGCCCATTGACTAGAATGTACGTGTTTTTCTGGACAGAGCGCTGATTTCCGACGCAAGGGGACACCTTGACATCAGGTTTTGGACAGCCTAAAATGAAGTTGATTTAAGGCGTGCTGTGTCGCTTACTACCATCACATTTAAGCGCCACCCTTTTAACTTAAAGTACCTGATCTTCAGGCTAGGTTTAAGCAATGTAACGCAAAGCATTATAGTTGTAAAGGAAAAAAACACTATTTTATTTGCAGCGACACATGGACGTTGCCACTTACAGCATTTGCCGGCGGCCTCCTTACGCACCGTTCGCCGGCACTCGCACCCCTCAAGTTGCCATCCACTAGTAACAAAGTGACGCTGACAGGTTGCGGGATCGCATACCTCCTTTGTTTCCATTGACCGATTGTCTGTAGTTGTTTCGTTTAGTGGTGGGCAAGGCGGAGGCGGCAGGTGTTTAAGACGGACCATAGCTCTACAAGTGGCGTGATTTCCATCCTTCCGATCCAGGCGGTAGCGAATAGACTTCACGATCATGGTGTTGCTGTGACTGTGGCACACTGTCTCTCGTTTCACACCTGGTGGGCAGCCTAATCCGAACAATTTTATGGGTCGTCAAGAGGCTATGATAGATTCCATAACTGGAGGAGGAGTAAGAGGAGAACTTACTACAGACTTGTTTGATGGTATGGACGGAGCGTGTGCAGGTACAGTTTACCGGGTGCTCGCTGATGAGGCGTATTTCTTGCATGCCAATCCCCGTAGTGGGGTCACGTTTGCAAGGTAGACGTACTAGAGCCTGGCCACGGCATCCTGCAATTAAATCGCAATGATTAAGTCCCACTTAAAAGGACAAGCTTCATGACAGCCAAAATGAGATGTGAATTTGCTGCCACTTCAAACCATAGAACTGAGAATGAAGGAAGAATTTGAAAAGCAACTCTTTAAAAGGTATAGGATTGCATCAATGGTGCAGGGAGCTCACTTATCTTCTTGTCGACCACTTCGATGGTCTTGGTCTTGCATTCAGAGCAGGAAATTTGTCGTCTGTGTGTTATATGTCTCATGAGGGCATCATTATTCACGCACACAAATTTAGTTTCCACCCCTTGTTTGCATTCTGAAGAAGTAAAAGAAAATTCAGACGTTTGTGCTGTTAACTTTATGCAATGAAGAGAAGAAGCTTGTAAGCTCACCACAGGGCTCAGTGATTCTCTTCTCCAACACAAGGCACCTCTTAGGACTGGACTCCTCCCTGAATTGCGTCACCACCACAACGTCACGTCTCCCCTTGCAGTAGTCGCACGGCAGCTCCCTTCTTGTCACTCCATTTGAGCAGTCTGTAAATGCAGAACATGCCACTAGCTCTTCACCTAATCTCATTGTAGCAGTGAGAGAACATTTGGTTGCAAGAATCTCTATGAATTTAAATAGACTCGATGCATTCCTTAGAGGAGACTTAAGATGGCAGAGACGACGATGCTTACCCCCACAGGGTTCATGGTCAGTCTGACGAACAGGCTCGCAAAGTCCATTGTTTGCATGACGGTAGCAAACTGTGATGACTTCCACCGTCTTGGTGTGGGGATCACAGACGCTTCGCGTTGTTTCACAAGGTTTACAGGCTGCAATAAATTGATGATGCATCAGCAAATAGTTTTGAGAGGCCTTCAAGTACAGTCTACAGGAACCTCCCAAAAGCGATACCCAAAATTTAAATCAAGTTAAAAGACTAAACAAGTGACACTTTAAAACACGTTGTAAATGCATTTTCAGAGTCACTGCTTCACAGGGTATGAGTAAATCAAAGACAGCCAAGCACCGGTTCAGAGGTCACCTGCGGCCTTCGAAACTTACGGCACGTCTTCTGCTGACTCTCGATAACCTTTTCACACTTGCAGTTGACTATTCGGTAGGTCTTATAAAATTCCGTCATACGACCCTCCGGAGAGCATGGCGAAGCTTTTAGGAGTGCAGGCGGCGGGCATACTAGAAGAGGAAGATCGGGATTTACCACGCTTCCATGGCTACACAACGTACAGCTTTAATGAAACGGTTCACAATATTTGCGATTTACTTCATTGGTAGTACAGAACTGTGTGCACCTAGTTAATAGGCTTTGCCAAAATAGCAAACTTTACAGCACTGTATTCGCCATGTTTAGAGGAAAGATGAATACAGCTAGCTTGGGGCAAATAATTGGACAAGCACAAGCAAGTAAGCAAACTGGAAGGGGAGTGGGAATAAACGAACCCGGTCCGGGCAGTTTATGCCGGTCGACGACTTTGACACAGTTGCCCCGGGCATCTTTGAGGTACCTCTTAGTCACCCGAATGAGAGTGTTATTTTGGCAGACGTCACTCATTACGGTCCTGGGACAGTCATCGCTGCAGAAAAGGCATACTTTGCCATGTAGCAAAGAACATAAAAACTGGCATAAAAGGGCAACTCATGCCTTAAGAAAGACGCTGTTGCAGTCACCACTACTTTAATTTATACCACTTTACAGGTTGTTTCTGCATCTTCTTGTCTAAAGTCTCTTTCCCTCATTGGCGCAGGGAATGAATGTTACCGTGGGCGCTTTTCAAATAAAAATGCTACTGTGATGATGAGGTGGTGTTGAAACACATTTTGACTTCATCAATTTGCGTAAGACCTTGCAGCTCATCAGAACTACCGTCTTCAGTGCCGACTGCCGTTTCCGAAATTGTGAAACTAGATATGATTCTATTACCAATCGAAGAGTATTCATAATGAAAAGCCATGAGTTATGCGTCAAACATACCTATCCGAAGCTTTTGCTGTGATCACCAAAATGATCACGAGAAGAGTTGACAATCGCACTAGCAGTGGTTGCGCCATGGTCCAACCCGTAAAGTCAGGCTTCAACAGCCTCTTGTTTGTAAGACGTTCGGCAATAATATAAAGTGGTCAGGTTAAAGTGCTAAAAGCCGCGCCTAATCAGAGCGAGAAATGTAAGGTAGTCTCTTGTGAAAACCGTTGTCGGCTTTTATACCCATCCTCAACTACTCCCTCACCTTGGCCAAGGCACCAGCAAATTCCAGCAACAACACGCCCAACCCGCATAAGTTTCTCCTATTCTTTTTCACTTTTCAAGTCTTTCAAATAAATTTCTACTCGACAAAAATGGGTCTACGGAGGCTAAATTTACTGGAACTCATAAATACAGTTTATTCGACTGAGTGATTTGCAGACAGATTGGTTTCATCTGAAATGAGAGTGTAATACTTTGTTTATTTGAATAATTGTATGAAGGGCAGTGACTTCAGACCAAGCCATAGGCTCGCTTCTGCCATTTCTATCGAAAAAGGCATTTAGCCGTGCCCAATGCCTTCTACTGTTGAATAGAAAGTCTCGGGCCGTTCAAACAGTAGCGAACACGTCTCGACCTAAAAACGCTCAGTTATGGGGCTTTAAAAGAACCGCGTTTTAAGGAGCGTTCTCAAACTCTCTCTCTCCTTCTGAGTGACCTTTCAACAATCGACGAAGGATGGTATGTTATATTTCCTATTCACGAGGCATATTCTATAGGCCGTAGGTTGTGGACCAACAGCTGGGTTCAATAACCTTGTCAAGAATGGTTCGCCCTTGAATGTTTTGGACCAAATTTGGGTATTAAAAGGTTTTTTTCATTCCCTTTTCAAAGCGAATCTAATGGAGCAATAAGACCTTCAAACAAAAATTACATAACCTGTTCATGTTCACATCCTGTAGGTTTCAGGCTCTGACGTGGGAGCTTAAAGCGTTTCGCGCTTATATGGTGACTTCACAAGGTTGGCAAGCGTGTGCACTAATGCACTCAGAGAAGAGTGATGGAAACGGAAGGACAACCATGCAGATAAACCTACGCTAACCAGAGGCAGCACCTCTAACTCAGACAAATCTAACCATATCTGCCTGGTGGAGTAAAAAACAACTTTTGATGCTAATGAGAGACTTCAGGCAAGAATAGGGAGATTGGGGCTGATTCCTGTCACTGTCAAACATGTTCGCTGATTACAAACGGCAAAACTGCTGTGGATTAACTGTCATACCAACCCCAGCGTGATTAACAAGCATGCAGCCAATTACTTAAAACGTACACCGCCCGAGCGAGCATCATCCAATGGCTACTCCAAATCAAAACCATTAACGATAAGTTCACACCAAACCACTCACTACCAAACAATGCCATCCCCTCCCAACCCCTACTGCAATTTTAGAGGGAAGTCACCCGATCGGAATTTAACCTCTACCCCGATGAGTCACATCCATCACCGCTGCCAACGGTTCACTCAAATAATTGCCCACCGCAATAAATCAAAGAGAGACCACTGTTTTGCGACAGATTTTATCATGGGCTAGCCGTAAAAAAGCAAACAATATTCTGAGGGAGATTCGCATACACATGGACAGAAACATGGGATCAGATGGGTTACTCAATCGTCTTCTCTTCAAACTTTTGCCTGTAGAAAGGGATTCTTTTGACAACGACACGCCAGTCGATGAGATAGATGACCAGTACAGTGGCACCAACTCCATAGGTGGCTAGCGAGCGACCCCAACTGCTCAGAAAGTTCACCTTTGGTTGGAAAGCGCGGCGCAACGACATGAGAGTTTTGGTGGAAATCATTTTTCTATGCAAAATAGGGTAGTTTACGAAAACACAGTCAATAAAAGCCTTAAGGAGAATGAAAATCAAGAAAAGTGCCCTACTACCCTGTGGCAGAAGCGAAGAAACGCATAGTCTAGGCACTTTAAGCTTGCTGTGCTTAACAAATTAAACCACACCTGATTGACATACAATCAACAACTGGAGTAATTTCTGTAAAGCAACAAACGGTACTCGTCATGACTTGAATGCAATTAAATGCAGCCAAATATAACATGCAAAAGAAATGGTAAAAAGTTGCCTTAGAATCATTCGCAAGTCAAAACATTAGACCTAAGGCCTTATCGGTAAGCAAGTATAACATCAACTACATAGTTTCCGATAAGCCAAAGCATACTGCCTGGACTTCATCGATAATGATGCCGCACGACATCACGCCAATTGTGATAACGACAGCCATTGAGTAAAAAATCATAAAAAAATCAAGGCAGCAAAGAAGAATAGAGGTAAAAAGGAATAGGTGATTATCGTGAGGCCGATAGCAGCAAGATCTACTTTACATCAATTGCCTACACCATTTATTACTATGAGAAAAAGCATCAGTGGTGGAGCCGCAAAAAATGTAATCGACCAAAACAAAGCCAGATACACACTAATTGATTGACGAGGTCGAGAGAGGATATGGTACAAACTATCAGATGAATTAATCCAAGTATAAATGCGCAACGCCACATCAAGATGGATCGAGCAGATGCGTGTGATTGTTCAACCTAATAAAAGCCATCAAAGAAGACACCTAGCACAGACAGTAGGAACAACAAGCCACCTGCACTGAGTCAAATAAAGGACCCAGATTTGTGGCAGTTATAACAATAAAGGACAAAGTCAACACAAGGCAGTTCTTGACATGAAAAACAAGCAACAAAAAAGGAACATTAGTAGACATAATTACATGATAAAAAATTACCTTTTTAATTATAAGGTAAGTGCGACTTTTAGAATTTGACCGCGTCTTTGCCGCTCTCTGAAGCAATATAATGGGCTGAGCTTGTAGCGTCCCGAGGCTTCCCATAGGGTAGTAGAAGGGATAAGTGAGGGTGAATACAGGTACTCGGAAGACAGCAGGGCAAATGAGGCCTGAGCATGGTCCAAAGGCCAGCCCACGTGTACGGGGCCAGACAAATTCTAAAGTGACCGCCAAACGTCAGGTAGTCACATAAATAAAGCAATATACTGCTCCTCTCTTCTTTTAAGCGACGTCATCAGCGATCCTCTTTTGTACACCTCCCATGCTAGCCATCACAACATATTCGGTGCCGCAAGAAAGCATCCACGAGCCATCCACGCCAGTCGACAGGCAACAGGAGGCTAAGGAACTGTACTTGGTCTTCTTGGCAACTTCAACTGGATCCGTAGCTACGATTGGTCTGAAAACCATATTTGGGGCCGCATGCACCCGTCAACCATCAATTGCTTCCAGGAATAGATGGTGAAAATCTTATCTAAAACATATGCTATAGAGCTAACGGGATGAGCCACTTTCCTGTATGCGAGGAGATCCGTGGTGTCATTTCCGACACCTAAACATGGATTTTGTATGGGAAATTCCGACACGAAACTTTTTTGGATGGTTCACGGCGGCGTCGCTTCAGGGTTAACAGCATGTCTGTGGAACACGTGAATAAGGTGAAAACAAATGCAAACGTCAGTCTAGATCCCTTCATTGTGAAGGATTCAGAGATTCTCTTTCACCGAGGTAAATGAGCCCCCTTCACTTTACGTCCCTCTTCGCCTGTGTCTTCATCTATTGCACTTCAATAGAGTCAGACTTCCTTCTACGCATGTATAATTCATAATTGCCGGTGCATAACGCCACAATGCGCTTATTAATCCTGGATTTCTCCACCAAGATGCAAAATCCCTTTGCAGTCTTGCCTGCTGGTTAGATTATATCCTTCTTGTCATGAAAGAGAGGTTTCGACTTTCCGGCGGAGGGAACCAGATTTTGGGGTATCTGCATGTATTGAACCAGTGCATCACCCGATCGAGCCGTTGCTCTTCGGTTTGTTCGTACTGTTCTTTTCCGGAAATCAGTCGATTAATTAGCGAAGTTCAGCAACGCAAACCTAGGATGTCAGTAAGACAGCTGTGTTGTTGGGCAATAAATTTCCACACACAATTTGCCACTTTCAAAAGCACCTTACGCCCAAAAGTCGTTAAAATGCCGGGTCCGCTTTCAGCTGCCACCAGTGTAGCGTCCCGAGGCTTCCCATAGGGTGGAAAAAGGTATAAGTGAGGGTGAATACATGCATTCGGAAGGCAACAGGGCATGGCCCGAAGGCCAGCCTAAGTGTATAGGGGCCAGACAATTTCTAACGTGACCACCTAACGCCAGGTATTCACATAGACAAGGTGTTGCAGTGCTGACTGGAGAATTACATTGTAGGGCCCTTCTACCCGCCCTCAGGCTCCTGAACCAGGAGCTTCAGGAGAGGTTTAGTTGATGGAATTTTATTAGGTATCATGTACAGAACGAAGGCAAATGAAGAAGGGGTTGATGAGGCGGAAAGCCGTTATCAATCAAAGAACGTTTCTTCACTTTCCTCACGAACGACTCTCGTTCGAATCGCTCTCCCGCTCCTTCACTATAAAGGCGAAATCAAACGTATAGTTATGTTTTGCACGTCCGGCTGTGATTGGCCTATCAATTTTAGCAGACGCATTTACCTTACTGCTATTCTTATACTATTTTTTTGTCATAATTGATGGTCCGCTGGTTTATCAGCATTGAATCCTTATCAACATCATAAAGACTTCATGCATTTCGTGTTTGCGTTTAAAATCGTTTTGCTTTTAAATTTCATGGAATCGATTAATACTGATCGTGCTTCGAACTACGATTTTTTTGGTTTTATTTAATCACTTTCGGTGCATCAACATAATCATCATCCTACTTTGGAGTATCGGCTCGTAGTATCCCTGCGGGTAACCTTGTCTCTGTCGTGTGATCTGTGACACTGTGGTGATTTTGTGCTCCCGCATGGCAGCTTGTCGGAATCAGCCGCTTTTGGCGCCTGATTACGCGCGTGTCTCGAATAGATTCCATCGGGTGGTATCAAACTGGTCTCTTCCCGATTTGGATAAAGTAATATGGGCCCTTGAAAGGTAGGTTTTGGTGAATTGCCTGTCATTGTTCCAGAGATAATATGCTATCTGTGGAGGAATTGAGTAGGATTGTACCTTCGAAAAAGATCGAAGAAGTTGGTTATAATTTTCTAATTTGCTTTGAGACAGATTGAACAGCTCATCTCTTTGTGTTTGTCAAGTGAAGAAGCCGATTTTGGAGGGAATTTGGAACCACAACGGATATCTACCGAAGAAAGCACTCTTGAGGTTCCTTTAAGCGCTTTATTTATTCTGTTCAGATCATTAAGAACAGTGTTAAGTCAGTTGTGCCGGGTCAGTTTTCACCAGGGCCTGGGATATCATCGGTAGGTCACATCACTTTCGCATCCTACCATGAGGGGATTTAGGTCCTCCGAGATATTGCTAAAAAAGAGCGTTTTAACAATATGGACAATGTATGTGGTGCAAAGCGCTTGGGTGGCCATAAAGGATTCATTTTGCCTGACTATGGGCGAATTTATGAGTACATCGCTGATTTGCTCACACTTGCCAAAACTCGTCCGCATATTGGGGACAGTGATATGGTGGTCCTTCTTGATATGTTATTCTGGTAGGATTTGTGTTTTTCATTCATACCTCCTCCCTTTTTGAAATAGTTTAAAATTTCGAGAAGCTGTTTTTACTTGGCAATGTTAATGCAGTATAGATTTGGCGTGGATACTTTTACCTGCAGTTAGCAGATATCCTGCTATATTGTTCAGTCATCGTCTTTCCATTCTTAGCCTTCTTCAAGCTACCGACTATTTGCTAAGAAAGGGCTCCGCCGGAGACATCGAACAGGCGTTTTCGGTTGTGAGGGATAAAATTGGCGTCCTTATTTCCTCAATCTCTGCTTCCTACCAACACCGATGCGCGTTCCTAAAACAGATATCTGTCTCTTCGGTTTATGATATTGACTCGCTTACCTCTTGCTTTCCTCAAGCTGCACTGACTTCTGCCCCTTGCCGACCCAATGTGTTACCCTACATGGCTCCTATTCTTGTAGTGAAGGAGGCTCGGCTTTCCTACAATGTTTCGCAATGCGCTCTCCTGAAGAGGACAATGAGGGATGTATTTAGACAGTACTGGCAGCGTAATTCCTCCTTTTTCCACTCATTCTTTTTGCTTGTTGCTCATGCCAACTTTAAATGTTTTTTTTTTCGTTTAGCGCCCGTGATGAAAGAGGATGAGGACTTGCAGATAGTTCATAAGAAATTAGCAAAGTTTATATTGAATCCCCTCTGTTTGAATGAAAAGCTTGTCCCTTCGGTGTGCGAATACCTCTCTACGCTAAGCATGCTGATGCGACATTACGAAGAACGCATCACATCCTTGACTTCAATAACCACTACTGAATCACATAGCTTGTAGGTGTTAAAGTTTGAATCATTAATCCAAAGATACAGGGCTAAAAAGTTGATGAATTCCATGCCATTTTATCTTTTATGTTGTTATTGCTTTGAACGTCTGCCTTCGAAAGTAGACTTCTTACCATGTGAGAAGTTGAGTGGGGAAACCAAGACCACTGGTCGTGGTAGTATTATTGGGTTGCTCGAGGTGTCATTTGGTAGCACAAAGCCTCCCATGGAAATTTAGCATCGACTGTCCTCAAGTCGATGTGTTGAAGGGAATGTTTGTGCACTTTTTTAGTTGTAAACAGAACGTGCTAATTCAGTCTGCAGCGAAGCTCATTGCTGACTACCGCTCTGGCAAAAAGGTAAGTCGCTCGCACCACGTTAATTCTTCGAAGTTCACAACCAACAGTATTCAGTAAATAAGTGTTCTTCACATTGATGCCATTTTTACCGTCGCGTAAGACTAAAAGGTTTTCAAATTGCATGGTCAAATGTAGTGAGAGACAGAGCTAACGGATCTCCTTCCTTTTGTGGATCCCCTCGTAAAGTTAAAATTGAGCATTGACAGCTAATTTTTGTAACAAGAATTCTCAATTTCGTTCCTTTGTGTGGCGGCAGAATTTCGTTCGGCGTATCAGTCTCCCCGTGGAAAGGCATGAAATAGACAAGTTTATCAATGCCGTGAGTTTCTCGTTCCCTTTAGCCATGGTTTCAATTTTGTCATCACTGTATTCTCGAGTTCATTTCTAATTTTTGGACAACTAGTCTTGTTATACTGCTAGGTGCATATACCAAGATCGGATGTACCATTAATTGCAATGAGGACAAAACTTTCACCGGTGAGTTGCTGCAGTAGATTTTGATGTGTTAACTTTGCTAATCTGCCCAATTTTTAGCAAATTTTGAGGCCTCTCTGGACCCAAAGGAGGAGTAACAAGCCACGAGCACCCAGAAACTCGGTATGTACTAAGCCTTGGTGACTGTGACTTCTTGGAGTTGTAAGCTCCCACTCCCAAGTCTCAAATGATTTTACTCTACCTTTTGCAAATTTTAGTGATAGAGTTGTGTTGTCTTTCAGTTCAAGGCAAAGAAGGCCTCTTCGCGTCAACCTAAGCTATACAGAAGAGTTGACTAAACCTCGCACGATTCCTCGGGGCTTTGGGTGTAAAATACGTCGTAATTGCCAACTGACAAAATAGATTTTCATTCTCTGAACAGAGGCCTTTTGATTCTACCGATCATCATTTTGGCACAAGTTTTGGTCTTTCAGAGTACGTGCCCTATCCCACGCGATAAATACAAGCCGCTCCTGAGCTTACCAGCCTAATGGGGGGCAAGTGTGAGGAAATGTGCAGCATCGCTTATGTTCCACAAATCTATTTACACGAGGTGTGGAATAAAGATGCATAACTGTTCAAACTCAACTGAAGCAGTGCTTCGCGCGAGGGGAAGAGAGGTAAAATATTGTTGGGGGGAAGTAGTATCACGTGCCGGCGGCAATGATTTCACTTCCCATGCTTATGTCCGTTTGAGTCCCCATTTCAGCTGAGGTGTTCGGTGCTGACGCCTCTGCATTGTCGGAATCGCCGTAATTCACCAGTCTACGTCCAATCAGATACCTGAAAGTGAAATGTTTGGGTGAGCCACGGCGCGACGAGGATGTGACAATGCGGAATTGTAATTTACTCAGCGTCTTTGATTTGTTCATAGAGTTTGATACACTGTCGCATCTGCCAGTAGATCAAGACGCCGATCAGAACCAAACTAAATATCAAAGGGTAGACGTAGCGGAACGCGACCTCCGGTTGGACATCTTAACCAAAAATGTAATAGTTGAGGATGATATGCTACAAAATTCTCAGAACAGAGAACATATTTGAAGGCAAGATAAGGGAGAAGGAGGCTTACTGAGACGAGGAGCAAGGTAGTAGGCAAGGAGGAAGGGGAAAGAAAGTGAGATCCCAATAATTGCAAAGAGGGGTAATGACAGTCGGATGATGCGAAAAACATGGATCGTGGGCCAGTTGTGGAGGATCTCATCATGGATCTCCTCTATTGTATCTCGCACTCGCCAGCGTGGCCCAACAAGCAAAATAAGCATCCAAACCTTCAGATGCATTACTCCAAAAATCCAGCTCTGTAGGAGGAGAGAAAAGCAAAAAAAATTAGATCGGAAATAATTGAAGACAGAAGGAAGCTTTAGTCCTCTCACTTCCGAAAACCCGATGGCAAGGGTCTTCTCAGGTCCTACCCAGACGGGAATAAAAACGACCAGATTGATGAGTAAACCAAGGGAGGCGGGCAAGAGGACCAGCAACAAAGTGGAGAGCAAGGCCAGTCGAAGAGGCACGGAGAGAGTGAGAAGGAGTTCGCGTAGCACCTGCTTTCGGTGAAGTGCGGCAGCGTCGGCGCCCTCATCATTGACCGGCGCGTTGGCAAGTGGTGGAAGCATCATAGCCAACGCCTCACGTCGCGCCCAACGTGGCGCGAACGAATTGCCCCGCAACCACTCCCCTATCCCCAAAGTCCACTCCGAAAGCCAACGCCAACCCTCCCATGTGGTCAAATGAGCTGCCCTCTCCACGAGGATAAACCACACGTTGCACAGAGCCTGTAGCGCCATCGGAAGGCTAAAAAGGAGGGTGTGTGTAGTGTAATTTCTAAAATATCCGCAATTATTTTCGCGAAACCGCAATGCCTCTAAAATAGGCAGGAAGTCGTATCAAAATAGAGGATCATCACGCCTTATGAATGCATGGGAGTTCCATTAACCTCGCATTAGCAGTACCCAGGGTTCCACACATCATTTTGCATATTGCATTTGTCCTCCAACAAAACGTGCAAGAATCAAACACGAAGTGCAGTTAATTTTGTTAGCGGTTGACAAGTGGCAAACGATTTCAGGCGCGAAAACTAATAGGAAAGGCATAAGGTCCGCCTTCTGCATCATTAACATGGTAACTTTTGTTAATGATTCTAATAATTGAATTTTTGAGAATGCTTAAATGCATGCATGATCGCAAAGTAATGTATTGAGTCATTGCACACTAGCTTCCCACCATCGTATGCTGATAGCAAAATGCACAGAGAAGTAAGCTTTTAGTGCGAAAATCGGGAGTTAGCTTACCAGAGTACAGTCTTGGCCCATCCCATGAGAGAGCAGACGCCAACAAGAAGAGTCAGAGCATCATGATGTGGTGTCTGGCTGAGGCCCATGTGTCCCAGCATGAGTCGGCCGAGGGCAACGGGTACGACGAGGACAGCGAAGCTGATAAAAACGAGGGAGATGACAAGCAGCGCCAGCAGACCGAAAAGACGCGCCACGAAAAAGCGCGGGCGTGCGTACGGTGCGTAACCACCCGTTGGTGGTGGCGGAGCAGCTGCGTTCTCTGCCCCACCACCACCCCCAGCATTGCCGCCCTCGTGACCTGTGGAATTACCGCCGTCTGTGTTTCCTGAAGTTGACCTCGACAATATCGATGCAGATATTCGGCGACCATCCGCCATCACTACTTCATCCTAGAATGGGTAATAAAGGAGCTAGTCTTCAGCTAAATTGATAACATTAACAATCGCATGAGGGTCAATAAGACTGAGTTTTGCATTGACATGACGCAGAAGGATTGGCACACATCGGAGCACTTCGTTTCCGTTTATTGGCATGATGGTCATGAAGGTGCGGAGTAAATGCGTTTGTGGTGGATAATGACAGACCGTTTTTACTAGGAGACAATAGGCTGAAGAAATATGCGCAGATAAAGTGCAACTGGGAATATTAATGATCTAGTTCACCTATGCCATGACAACAGCTAAAAGTAGAGGACAGGGAAATTACAGTATACTCTGAGATAAAAGTTTTTTGTTAATAATTAGGCCCAGAGGCGCGTCCATTCCCTTCGAAGACTACTTTAGCATTAAATACATCTGATGTGGCTCGCAAACACTAAGCCTTTACAAAATGTCTACGATTTATTTGAATCGCACAGAAACCACACCAAAGGGCATCCTTACGAAAAAAATAAAAAAAAAACCTAGACTACGGCTGAGATAATTTGGGCATGAAAATAAAGATGGTAGCAATGTGGTCAAACATGAATGAAATCACAATGAGTACGAGAGGAATTGGAACTAACACTCGGTTTAAAGGCGACATCACCGAGGAGGTAGCTGCGCAGTCCCAGCATCCATGCGGCCCCGACGCACCAATGACGCAGGACCGCGGAAAGGAACACCTTGAACTGGCCATCTAGCAAAAAGGGCATTACTATTTGCAGAATTATTATCTCCACCGAGTAGTCCACTGGACTGTCACTAAAAAGAGTAAACATCCCAAGTAAACACATTGCCCGCTTCGACTTACCATTCTGATCGCTAGCATGATGTCTAGGGTATTTGGCTTAATGTGGCCATAAACCGTTGACAAATGTCAGAAGGATTACCGCGACATAGGACTGACTATATACATGGTACTGTCAGAAGACAGAGCTAAATAAACTGTTGCGTAGGATTTGGTGGAAGAAGAACAGAGATCGTTCATGGTAGGTACGATAGCAAGGTCGATATTAGGTGCGCAAAACTATCTCTATTTTTTCGCATTCAAAACCTTATGGAGTAATCACGTGCATCAGGTACTTGAGCTCATATGGATAAACACTAAGAGAAAAGAAAGCACCGCTCAATTTGTGAGAAAATAATGAGATGATGACATACTAGGCGAGACTCATCTGGAAAGGCAGAAATCCTGGGAGCAGTTTTTGAGTGATTAGAGTGGGCAGCCAAATTGAGAGAATCACTATTATTCCTGTTAGCGACTAAATGAAAGAAATGGAGAAGTGATCCAAATGTGTGAGTTAGCAGAGCAGGGATAGGTGAAAAGGAACTCACAAGGTTAACAACAAGACGTTGAATGTAGGTCGTCACAGGAAGTGAAATCATCTGCAAGGAAATGCGCATGGATGAAGTGATATGCCAAATCATCTGACAACTTCGCATGAGGTTTGTGATGAGGAGGACGAACGTACGTCTTGAACGGGTCTGTAGTCAGGATCGGTGAAGTCAGGTAGAAACCAGAGGACCCCAGGTCGAATAACATCACGAATGATGATGAAGAGCGAGGAAACGTAGAAGAGATACATTAAACCCATGGTCCAGTGAATGAAACTGAACACCACAGGGGCGTAACTGAAAGCACGCAAGCGTTGTGCTACTGATGCGTTAAACATACCCTGAAAGAGCGAAAAGGTAGATTAGAGATCGTTAGTAATTTGTTTTCTTCTGTAACACAATTGGTTCTGAGTGATGATTGCAACAGAGTCGGTATACAGAAGGGCTTACCAAGGAGCAGGCATCAATCCAAAGTCCACAGAAGGCCGTAAAAATGCCCAGCTCCACAAAAGCTATGATGGGCACCTTTACGTAGATGTAACACAGACCGGCGTAATAAGAAACTGACCTAAAATTTAAAACGGTGAGGAAATTTGGTGCAAGACAAAAAGATGCGTGAATTTACAACAGTGAGCATTACATTATCACATCATTACTCCAAAGGCGCTAAAGTACTCTATTACCACGATCTCGGGACAACACCTTTTTAGCAATGTCACCAACCTTGGTAACCCGATTGCTTTGAAAACGTAGTGAGAAATAATGAGGAGGGTGGCCATGACGACGTAGCCGATGAAGGAGAACAAAATCAACTCAATCGCTGGAGTGAGAAGCTAAAAAGTAAATTATTGAACGTTAATTAAAAAGTGGGCGGTGTGGTTGACCGAGTAATAAAAAAGCGGCACTTTGTGGCCCAATGAACACAGCCACTTTTGTTAAGCCTTGATAGCACGGGAGCAGAACAAATTGTATTGATCTGCGGCACTTAGTGGTGTCCTACAGTACGTAAGGCGGAACCCTAAACAATTAGGCGAACCTTTGAGGTATGCATAGCTCGATTCAAGATTGCGTACTTTCTCGGCGGGTTATGGCTCGCCTTTTGCCGATGAAAGAGCATCAGCTGAATGAATAGGAACAGAATGGATTCGATAATCTGATATACAAAGTATATTAAATGTTAAAAAAGCTTTCATGTGTTGAACAGGAGGCAACAGGTCCATAGCCTGCTACAACTGAAACAAGCTAAGCAAGAACTGTTTACACCAGAGGTGGTCACATAATGCGACTGATGCATGCAAGTGGCAAACGAAACGGATGTGCGTTTCATTTGACCGTGGGTGGCACTATTGATAGTGCAAATCACTAGCCCTTGGCACGCCCTTTCAAAGGAAATCTATGTGCAAAAGATATCCAACCTTTTGTCGGTAGCATATTTATCTGTATCCCAAGATCAAAATGGTGCCTTATTAAGGGTTTTGCAGCCTTGACACGAATTTTGCCTACAGAATTTCTTATTGTTAAGTATGGTTAGTGAGTTGAGCGACACTGGTGACATAATGCCTCAAAATAGGATTAAAGATCAGACACCGAATGGTGAACTAAAATGCCATGGTCAGCACAAGTTTCAAATGCACCATGCTTTCAAAATGTGCGATATCAACAGGTATTTGCCTGGGCACTCCAATCCCTTTGACTTGGGGTCTTTTACACACCCCAAACTGTCATTCTATGACAACTGAAGCCCACATACCTGACGTGATTTAACCCCGCACGAAATCCATAACATATGAAGTTGCTCTCTGTGGTAATCATGGAAATGAACGAACGCAGTAAGTAGGATGAACCATCAGTCAAGGTGAAAACTGAGTGGTAAACTTGCTGCGAATGTATCTAAATTGCAAGTACAGTGAGCCTTATTCAGGGTCAGTTGGACAAATGGCACTAAAATCCTCTCAACTTGTGAGCAAAACTAGAGCTTAGAGACAACAACATTGATTGCTAGTAAAACGCAAGATCACAGGGTTAGGAAGGCAACCTAAAGAGCTACAAATACGAATATCAGACGATTTGGCTCAAAGAGGACGGAACAACTTACAGCTGTTTTGATCCCTAACGCTGAGATCACAGTCCGTCCGGTGTAGAATGGAAAAGAGGCTTAACGAGACCAGAGTGTCGACCATTAGCATTACAGTTAAATCAAACGATCTAGTGGGCGTTGTGGGCACTCACCAAAGAAGAGGATAAAAAAGATATTGAGGACAATGATCCAAAGAACGTGCTCCAAAAAGGTCATAGTTCCATCCAGCCCGAAAATACGTTCCAATGTAAGTGGTGGCATTGCGGCACCGGCGTCAAAATCGGGTTCGTTGCCTCCAGGCGGTACCACTCCGTCATCCACCGCGGGCTGCTCCGGTTGCGGTAGTTGTTGCTGCGGTAGCGCAAGACCCTGTGTTCCGCCTCCCTCCTCGTCGTCTTCAAGTGTGCAGAAATACACAACCACACTTGGTTAATACAAATAAAACGGCAAAAGTAGTAATCAAAGGCATCGATAAGTAGTTAGAATAGACCTATCAAGATGGTAATGAGTAATGCTTTAATCAACGGGACGTGAATGTAAAGAGGCATAGCATACATTCAGTTGGTGTGTAAGGGTCTACGTCACAGTGTAAACAAAAGTCAGAAGAATCTAGTTCTCCAAAACGCAAGTGAGTTATTTAAGCACCCGAAAACCAAGAAGGAATACCTTTTCCTATCGTGCAAAGATATAGTAGTCTACGCATAAGCAAAGGTGAATGCACGAAACGAATAAATCATTTAACTATCACAAGATGTATTCAACTAAGGATTTGTTAAGGAAAGCAACAATGAATTAAAGTTCGTATACAAATAATGCGCTATGTTTGTACGTAAGAAAATTGCATTACTAAATTATTGTCAACTTGTAACGACCCGGGCCAACATCTGTAATCTTCAAACTTGACAAAACCAGTGAACACTAGTGGTAAATGAATTTTTCTGCTTAAGGGTTAACATTTGAAACCGAAACCGTAAAAACCTGATAATAGCACCTACTTCTGCACAAAAACACGTTTTGATAGAAAATAAACACAGAAAACCGTAACAAAAAAATATTTGTAAATATCGATATTGTCTTCTAAGCATAAAGGCAACCTATGATCGCTTTATATTTACGACCCAACAACCGAACTAGACTAAAAGGTGAAAACACTAACTAGGGTTGGCCTGATCGTTTGCATTGTTGGCAAGGGCAGTGGCAGCAACGACAGGGCCAGCCACGGCAAAGACTTGGTTAGCAGCTGCCGCCTCTCCCGTACCCTCGGTCTCAACCTCTTCCCCCTCTCTACCCTCTTCGGCTGCACCCTCTCCATCGGCAAGCCAGTCGGGCTCTCCGCCAATCACCAACTGCTCCCTCAACCACACGCAGCCAAAAAGGGCAGTTAAGGCGACCAAGACTATTAGGAAGCCCTACAAGCAAGAAATTTCACATCAGTATTTGTCAGATGCCCATCAAACACAAATAAAGCAAAAAGCGAAAGCGAAAACAGTGACAGATCGCAATCGGTTAAGAGTAGAAAATTTGGCGAATATTCTTAACAATTGTGACACTTCCTATCTCAATAAATTGATGAAAACTAGTTAAACCAAGCTTCGAGATCTACCGCAATCTATTGTGAGCCACGTGATCAAATGCCTACGCGCATCAACATATTGTAGCACCATGCTACAGGTACATCAGATTGTGAAACGACGAGTAAATAAGTAGGAGACTAGTGAGCATATTTCATGATGGAGTCACCTGTATGCAGTCTTGAATAACGTGCTCAGTGGAGAGTATATCCAAAGGAAGAGAAAGCAGTCCGACGAGATTCCCCGAGAAAAAACACCGGTAGATTCGACATACGGTGAGGGGAACCACGAATAACCACGAGACCACAACAGCAAGAAGATGGAAAAACCGAACAACGACATTGCGAAAGGCAGTAAGTAAACCGAAGAATAGAACTGGCAGGGGCACCACTGAGGGTGTATGTGGAGCATAGACTGGTTTGAAAGTGAAGCGATGATTGCAAAGCTCACAAGTCTGACGTTTGCTGTACTGAAGCCACTGCACTAGACTGTTTGACAAAAATATGGAGTAAGTGAACAAGTCGTTATGTTTGGTTAAAAGCACTAACTAGACTAAAAAACATGCAACTACTGCAGAAATGTAGGCGAAACCCTAAAAATTCATTACCAAGAACTAAATGTGTTTAAGGTTCGTTTGTCTTACCACTCCTGATGAACGTATTTTATGCTCCCGGTGCACATGCAAGGATAAAAAAGAGGCTGTGAAGGCGTGCCTTCACAACGGCAAACGCGACAAAAGTCTACAAATAAGAATAATAACAATAAATGAGAATACATGTAGAGTAGAAGGAACCAGAAGGCAAAAATTTATAGCAAATAACTTGAACAAAGAAATACACTTCTACCAAGTAGGATGGGAGACATTGCACTTATGTGACTGTCATCTAAGTTAACAGAAATACAGATTGTAGGAAGCATCGAGATTATGCCGCAAAAAAACACGCACCGCCCTCATCCACAGGCATTTTGACTACTTTTCAGACGATTCTCAAACGAGTGGATCTCAGAAGGTGCGCCACTTAAATTAAATGACTAAAAGCAAGTATTGCATTAAATCCCAAAGGTGTTATATATTATTAGTTATGCTTAATTTCACATTTCAGCCATAAGTTAATTTTTTAAAATTTAGTTGCGGTGTCTGATACTGCTGCTGACTGCGTGAACAAAGTCTGAGCGAATATGAATAGGTGGGGCAAAATCAAAACCAATAAATGTCCAAACGCAATTCAATTGGTTCTAAAAAGCTTGGCAATTATTGTGATTCCGGTATTTGTTTTAATCTTTGTGCTCTGCACTTGCTTTGGTGAGTTTCTCAGGTCCACCATGGTTCCAAGTCACTGCTTTTAGAAACTCTAGTAAATTTGCGGAGTCATTAAATAGAACTTAGCAAGAGTTACTTTAGACTCGAAAACGTACCATTACAATCTGACTTGCCATTAGTAATAATTTTTATTTGTGAATTTAACGCCTCACGACTCTTTTTTGGTAGTAGAATGCATTAAGCATTACTATATACTTGTAATCAAAGAGAATGGGAAAAAGTGGGGCTTGGTTTCGATCCAAAGCTCGGTCCGCTTATGGTGGATTAGGATATGCATCAAAGTTACTTTCAATCGTGCAAGTAATCAAATAACCGAAGTATTACACCGGTTACTCAGGGCCTTAAGGCAATCTTTGAAAGCCTCGGGACTCCTTACTAGGTAGAAGCAGATATTAATTTGAGTTGAGTGCCTATGCTCTTAGGAAAGAGGTAAGGACTGGGTCCTTATCGCACATATAATGAACAATGCATTACTTCTTGTAGTCTAGGGTTCACACGCAGTTACAAATTTGGCCTTAAAGCGAAGCATTTGTGCATTTGTTTTTTCGACTGCTTGAACGTGTTGCTATCACTTTCTTAGATAGTTTGCTTTCGCAAAGTGGATTTGCATGAGTAACATGTCAACATGCCCTTTCTGACTACGAACTATCTGTAGCGTCCCGAGGCTTCCAATGGGGTAGTAGAAGGCACAAGTGGGGTTGAATACATGTAT